ATATTTCCTTTGGAAAGTATACACTTATATCCTGAGAAAATGTAAACCATCGCTGCTAAGAATATCCTTCGAAACTTGTCCCTAATGAGTCTAGGTAGCGAACTTTAAAAAAGTGCAAGCACAATAGATCTATGCAGGTGGCAATGCTACAAGTCTTAGCACCTGACAATAAACCAAAACCCTCAATAAATAAATAGATATTTTCTTGTAAATACATACATATTATACATATAATACACCAAGACTGGTACAAACAATCATACTCATGAATACAAATGTTTATACCGTGGAATCGAAACCCGCGACAAATTAAGTGAGGCGGTGTGTTCAACCGCTGAACCACTGAGGCCGTCGAGTATAATATATACGATTAAACATTCCTTACACATATTTACAAGTCGTCAAGTGCTCATAAAACTGTACTTAGCATGCGAAATATTCGTGGCATCGTGAGAATTGTATCTGAGACCAATAACGGACAGCTGACTCATTAAGTAGTAGCAATCAAGTGGACTCATTGCTCGATTTTTACGGTTTTAATAGTTATAAATAACTACCTAATCATCTCGGCTACAGACGAGTTTACACAGCATTTTAAGAATATATTTATCTTTACATAGTATAAAATGAAGTCGTTTCCGCTGTCTGTTCGCTTAGATCTTTTAAACTACGTAATGGATTTTAATGCAGTTTTTAGCGATAGATAGAGTGATTTAAGAGGAAGATTTATATTTTATAATATATTTACACCCGTGCGAAGCTGAGGCAGGTAGCGAATTTATTATAAAACATTAGTTAATTGTGTAAAACTAACAACGTTAGTAACGCGTTGATGTCTTTTATATGAATGTATATCGAAAACGATTAATAACTTTTCAACATTTAAAAATAAGTTGTGTTGTTATTGTAATTAGGATTAAAATGGCTTGTAAATGAATTGGTAAATCAAAACAGGTGATGGTATAAATATAATTATAAGAAATGTTCCATTTATATAGATATAGTGATTTGGTGTCTATAATCAGTCAAAACCAATGATTTTATAAGTATAAAGCATTATTACCCGCAACTTTAGACGCAAATATATGTATAGTATTAACTATTTCCAGTGAGAAAAAATAGCCTATACCTGTCCTCCTAATAACATTTATATTAGCATTTGTCGTGGCCCCCAATATGTTGAAAACACTATATTTATTTTATTTGTAGCAACATTAAATTTATTAGCTGGCAACTCTCTCTCTCTCTCTCCGTCCGTTCATCAACGTGCATACAGCTCTGTATATAAATATTATAAATTTAAACACTATTCAATTGTAAACTTCAATAAATAAGAAAAACATCAACCAGGAAGCGTATTATTGAGCCACCATCAACCATCACCCACGCAGGGAAATACATCGCCTCAAACAAACGAACATCAAATACAATACAACACAACAATCTAGTTGTTTTTTCTTGCCAAATTTTATTAAGCATTACATATTTTAGTATCCATTCAAGCATACTGAAGTCACAATCCTAGTAAGTCGTTATAATAATATCTCCTTTGGACAGTTTACACTCCATCCTGAGAAGATAAAAACAATCGCTCCTAAGAATATTCTTCAATTCTTGATCCTGACGGGTTTGGGTAGCAAACTCTGAAAAAGGGCGAGCACAATAGACGTAGGTCGCAGTGCTACAAGGCCAAGCGCCTGACAATATCCGAAACAACCCAATAAAAATATAATCATATATATTTATTATGATTTTCAGACACATTATGTCTCGATCTGTGTAACATACTCGTGTGTTGATTAGATGGTACAAAAACTGGTAATTTCGCAATGCAACCGGAGAGCGACAACCAGTCGGAGACGCCATCCGGGTCGGCGGTAACGGTCGCCTCATTTTCCTAGCGGTAACCAGCCTGCACTTACGTACAATTAGACACAATCCACTTTTTATAACAACCCTCTACATTATCTTATTAATATTATAAACGCGAAAGTTTGTGAGTATGGGCGGATGTTTGTTACTCTTTCACGCCAAAACTTCTCAACGGATTTTGATGAAACTTTACAGTAACATAGCGTAATAGCGTAATACAATAACGAATATAGGCTATAAATTTCCCGCGGGTGAATCCGCCAGCATAACTAGTCTTTACATGTAATAAAATCAGCATAAAATAACTGTTTCATTGTTTATGTTTTAAATTTCTAAAAATATCTGGAGGATTTATTTATTTATTTCAGGCTACCAATGGATTATATACCTAAATTTTCACAGAGTCGTGATATTAATACGTGGAGCATAAACCTTTGTACCCTGTTTTTACGAAAATTGCGCGGACGAAGTATGGAACTTCATACACTTATAGTTGATGTAGAAAAAAAGTGCAGAATACTAATGTTTTTTTTTAAATTATGCATAAAAAATAAATAACAATAAACAAACCCAAATTTCACTAATACAATGATTTGTCATCACAAATGTTTTCACAATCAGGATGCATCCAAATTACATGTTTTCTTAATGATTTACAAAATAATTATGAGAATATTAAATGTTATGTAAATTCTCGCAAAGTAACATAATTTTTCCTAAGAGCCATTTGTGTAGTTCTATTTTAAACCTATTTAACAGCATCTCTCTAATTACCAGTTGTCTTTTTTTTTTATTTGTATGGAACTGACACGGGAGATACTTTCGTGTATGTTGCGTCTTCCAGCGATCTTTAAATATCTTGAAGATCATGGTGATGATGTATATGTTCATGTATATGTACATGTAGATGTATATGTTCTTAATTTAGTAAGGATTCAATCCAATATCTAAAACATTTGAAGTTTTTTTTAAATAAATGTTTATGAATAGAGGTCATTTCCACATACAAAATAATAATACCCAACTAAGATCGAATCTCAAACCCTACCGGGCTAGTTTCCAGTATTTACAATCTAAACGCTGTCAGGAAGTATTATAAATACAGTTAGTGGATCCTGCGTAGCCGGTACGGCCTGTTTTCTTACAGTTTGCGAGGTCGTTGGTTTGAGTCCGAGATGGTAGTTGAGAGGAACTTTTGTTATATTTTATTACTAACTAGTTACCATCTCCGGCTTTGCTCGGGTGCTCATAACTTTATGAGGCTTCTATATATTAGGATAATAATACACACTTAATACATTAACTATAATTACAATAACTCAAAATTACAATTTTTTGGAATTATATTGGATGGACTATATGAAGCGGAATATTACGTAAAGGACAGATGTAGTCGTATATAAAAGAGAGAGACAGCAAGCGAAAAAAACAAAAGAAGCAAGTAGAACACAAAACAAATAATTGGAATGGACTAATAAATGGTAGATTGCAGACATAAGTAAAAACTATTATTTGTTACCACTGAATATATTATTAATTAATGAATTCCAATACTGGTAGAATATAAAATATTTTTTTTGTAAATGCTATAGTAAGTACTATATTATATGTACTACATAGTATTATATGTAGTCTATTATATTGTTGTAAAAATAAAAAAGTTTTAAATGACTCATGACATTTTAGTCTACCGCTTACAAGTTCTCTATAATATTATGTATAGTATAAACTAACAACTTGCCCCGGCTTTACATAAGTATCTATATCACTCGTTGATTATACAGCTTTTTATAAGTAATAGATTTAAAATTATTTTTTTTATAAACTAAAATTAATCGAATTTACTCCTTGGTAAGATAGCATTTTATTTTTAAAATCTGTAATTTAAAAAATATTCATAGAAAACTACATTATGAAAGAATAACTTAATTTTTTTTGTATATATAAAATAATAACTTTGTTTTTTTTTGCAAGCAAAAAAAAAACAAAGTATTTATATTATATAAAACTATAATGACTAAATTTGCAATGAAAAAAAGTAACAAGTTCTGTATTTTACAAAGAATAAATCAAATACTCGTAATATATACATAATTACTAATATTAAGATTAAATAATTCCTAAATAACTAATTTTTAATTTTATATTTTCGTATTAAATCATACACTATAATGCCATATTTTTATTAATTTGCATGGTGTGTAACGATTCCTTTTCCAATCCCAAGTGAATGAGTCACAAACCAGTCATGTTTATTAAGAAACTGGGATGTCGATTGGTCGTTTAAGTGTTTCACAGGTAAGAAGTGAAGTATTCTTTGTTTAATGGTGGCTTTAAAAGATTTTATACCTGTATACCTGACTGGTAGCAACAGTATAGGAGCAACGAAATTTATTTGCACTTCCTGTCATCGTTTAATCTGAACCTTAATTTACAATACATTTTAATGATTTTAAAAAGAAGAATAAAGCTATTTTTTTATACTACGATGATGGCAAACAAGCAGACGGCCCAACTGATGGTAAATGGTTACCGTAGCTATGGACAGAAACAGAAAGGTTGTCGTACGCGTTGTCCGATTCTTAAGGAACTTTAATATTCTTGAAAAACTCCATGCTGTAGTCTCGTGAGAAAACCTCGGCAAGTAGTTCATTCCACAGCCTAAGTGTACGTGGGAGGAAGCTACTCTGGCTAACCGCACTATCCGAGACCACTTAGTTTCTAGCGTGTGTGGATGATTTCTCTGATGTATGTAACTGGAATAAGTAAAAACTTACGATGCACTTGACATAAACAGCATTACTGAAATCAAATCATTTATTCATGTAATACGTTTTAGCCGCTATGCATGAACGTAAAATTTCTTCCCTACCGTCCAATTTACAAATTCAATTGAGAAGATCTGGCAAGTCAAATGAATTTCTTTTTTTTAAAGCCGGTTTATTGTTTGTGTTTTAATGTAGGTGTCTATGTCTAACATTAAATAAAAAACCCGTTCATGAACAACTATTACCAATCACGTTCGTATCTTACCAAGCTGCTTGTCTAATAAAATGAGTGTGACAAACGTAACCGTGCTGTCAATTTCGTATCACGATAAATTAATCAAATTAATTTCTTTGTTACAGATATTCCAACAGTAAACAATATAAAAATGCAACACCTGTAACAGAACACAATATGGGCCCGCCAATTAGTACGTGGCCCTACAGCCACCCAAGTGCGCACGAAAATGTGTCAAGTGATAGTGAGAAAGTGTCAAGTGATAACAACACGAACAGAATGTGTTACATAGTGAGATTTGTGGACAGTTTTCGTATCATATGCCTTAACTTTACATTTGCAATGTTGGTGATTCAAGTGTTATTACATTTGCACACTGTGAAGGCAGGACCGGTGATACTAAATATGGACTATATGCAAGGTATTGTTTGTTTTTATTATAAAGATAGGATATCAATACTAATATTAATATTACTTTTAAAACTTATGTTCATTTTTATACTAATGCTGTATACTGTACCTGTGCACTATAAAATATGATAAAGCCAATATTCATGATATACATAACGGTCTCGGTGGGTTTAGCAGATCGTTTTATTTCCGATGTTCCGGGTTCAATTCCTCGCACGGTGCAAACATTTATATTCATGAGTATAACAGTATGTATCGGTGTAGGTGTTTTCTATGTATATTATGTATGCATTAAAAAAAAATATTTATATAAGTCGTCTAGTACCCATAATATAAGCTTTTACTTACCGTGTGACTAGATTGGACTATGTTAAATGTCCAGGGTTATTTATTATATTTATACATTCAGGAATAGCACCACGGGTATCACCTTATCATATGACGTTCGTGATACCACTTATACGTTGCCATCTTTGAAAAATAAAACGTCATGACTCTTATCTTATCCGATAATTTCACTGCCTAACCACAGTCTAATACTAAAACCTAAGTTACAAAGCACACACTTTTTACTACCTCGGCTATTCTGTATCTATTTTATCGAATTAGGTGTTATTTTGCGGAAGTCCACTTCACTACTTAATGGATTTATATTATTTTGCTTAATTCCGCTACAACCTTTCGTGCTACCAACCTACCGTTTCGACCTTCTCTAATGGTGATCAAATTCCGACCGCTGTTGAGTCTACGCCCATATTGCGACATGTGTTTCGCCTCTGAACGAGACATCATCAGGCATTGAACAGAATTCTGGTATAACTTCGAAGCCTAGTGATAACTGTTCGATGACCATACCGTGACAGTCAATACATATGACTTTCTCGGTAGTCTAGCGGTTTAACATACCACTTTAATTCCGATGTTCACGGGTTAGATTCCTCGCACGGTACAAACGTTTGTATTCATGAGTATGATTATTTGTTTGTTTGCGGTCTGGGTGTAGGTACTGTATGTGTATTATGTATGTTCTTCTACTTCATCATCCTCGCTCTTCCCGTTACACGGGGTCAGCTTTCCTAATCTTGAGGCGTCATGCATTTCGCTGGTAAGCATCATCATTTGACAGGCCCAACTCCTTTACGCCCCTTAATCAACCATGTAGTAGGTGGCCTACCTCGTCCTATTATTAAAAATCTAAGTTTTAAATCAGTTGTCTAGTACCCATAACACAAGCTCTGCTTGTCATGGGACTAGATGACGTTGTGTGAATTGTCCAGGGTTATTATTATTAATATTAAGTATTATAGTATTCTGCATAAATTTCGCTACATGTCAACAAGGATATGACGCATGACGTGTCTCAATATCAGGGCGTGTTGGCGCCTGTCACTGTGACCCCGATAGGATGCCTTAGTGACAGAGTGAAAGTGTCACCACAATGAGGATGGTGAACTTTTACATACCGCCACAGTCAAGGATATTGGGTTTCCGTACTTTTGAAATGTCTAATGAGATATCTATACTGTGTTATAAATGTTGTCTGTCTGTATAGTACATTTACACACCAAAATGACTGTACAGATCATAATGAAATCCTTATCCTTACTAATAAAAATCATAATTGTGAAAGTAACTTTGACTGTCTGTCTGTCGCGCTTTCACGCCAAAACTGCTGAAGCGATTTAAATTTGGTACACAGATAGTCTACAAATTAAATTTGGCACACAGATAGTCTATATCCTGAGAGAGGAGACTTTTTAATGTAAAAAAAAGGGTTGTAAGGGTATGATATGAAAGGTTGTATGGAAGTATCGTCTTTTTTGAAGCTAGAAACTTGAAACTTTTTTTATGTATGTATAACATTATGTATGATTATTGACACTTTTAATCTGAATTATAGTTTTTTTTGCGTTGTTATTTCATTTTATATATTTTTTTTAATGCTCTACCTGCTTATATCTCTGTTAGCTATATGGTTGACTGGGAGAAAATGTCTCAAAGTGTTAAGTCCACCAAGTGCACCATTATTTGTGTATTGTCCATTACTATTTATTTATATATACAGCCTTCATAAATAAATAAATAGCAGAAAAAGTAATATACAAATCGATCCAGCTTAGGAAGAGTTAAGTGATAAACACACGTACAGAAGAATTCTATATTTTCAAAATATATATAACTCAAAGGTGACTGACATGTGATCTATGAACGCACAGCCCAAACCACTGGACGGATCAGGTTGAAATTTGGCATGCAGGTAGATGTTATGACGTAGCATCTGCTAAGAAAGGATTTTAATAAATTCCACCCCTAAGGGGGTAAATTAACGCGAGCGAAGCCGCGAACAAAAGCTAGTATTAATATAAAACAGTCACACACTTTCACACAACATTTTTATCATTTACTCTAACACCGATTGGTTCCACTGTCTAGAGGTCTGTTCTCCATTTTAGTGCCCACAATACATTCGAGACAAATTATTTTCACTTACACTTTTGCCGTCATTAACGTCAAGTGAGAGTGTATTAGTGTAGTACAGTGTGTGGCCGACTGTGGCAAGTTATTGAATATAATGTTGAATGCCATTAAAAACAAATTAAGGCGAATTGTGGTCATGATCTACATTTAATAATATGAAATAAGTACTAGCCGTACAGTTTTATTTTATTCATTAAACTTCAATGCATATATATACGAATAAAGGTGCATATAGAGGACTTAACACTTTGAGGCATTTTCTCCCAGTCAACCAAAGGGTAAACAGAGATTCATGTGGGCGGTGCAATCATCTAAATTTAAATTCAAATGTTAAAGAAGATAATTTTGTACGTGCTTAAATATGTCTGCATATGCATCACTATATGCATATAGTCCATACTATTTATGAATAAATACACATATACACAGTATTTATAAATTATACATACAAATATAATTATATTTTTATAATTGTATTTATTATTTCTATTATCTTTATTTTTATTGAAATATATCCTTTATTGCTGCTAGGAAATGTGGTTGAAATTTTGTCATTTATTAAAAATTAAGAGCCACGTTCTTGTTGGTGGTTATAACCCTGGATAATTCACACTGCGAACTATATAATACGAAGCCAGGCAGAGCTTGTGATGAGTACCAGACAACTGATAGAAATACCTTCATATATAAGTATACATATATATATAAATATATACATATATACATAATATGTATGTAATGTAATGTATCCAATACAAACTTTTATAGTCATGAATACAGATGGTAGCACCGTGCCAGGAATCGAATTCGCGACCATCGGAAGTAAAGCGGTGTGCTAAACCGCTACACCATCGAGGTCATCAAATAATCTTATGCTTACACCTAACGATATATTTTTCCTCAATTTTACCAAAAAAAACCTATCTTTGTGGGAAATATGCGGTTCGACAACCTTTTGCATTTGTGAGATAATTATCACTTATTGTAATATAAATGTGAGTTTAATGACTGTACATATGTCATGCATTGGTACACTTACGTCTCACGTAGAATTATTTATAAACCGACTTCAGAATATACCGGTTCAGGTTTAGGTATAAGTATGTGAATGTTTCTTTAATTGTTCGAATACTTTTATGTACTATAAGGATTTCATATTTCAATACTCTCCTATCACGTCTTCCTGCCGGGACGTGATAGGGAACTTAAATACTGGAAATTTAACCCCTTTATGAGTTTTTTTTTAATTTTAAATCTGGTGCTTCTTCTGTAGTCCTATAAATTTGATTATGATCTGACAAGTAGTTTTAGATTCATCCTTAATATTGCCCCAAAGTGGGTTTTTTATTGGCCTAAATATATTTATAATACACAAATATTATAATATTTGGGTACCTCAGTCATCTATTTCAGCCGGCAAGTAGTGTTTGCGTTTTGTTTAAGTTGAAGAGTAAATTTACAGGCTTATCCTATAAAATTACATGACGCACACCTTAGCCATCAGAAACGCCATCGCATTACCAACGTATTATCACTGGCGCCACATGATAACGTGATATAACCTAGTGCTTTTCATGTACTTATACAGGTGACGGTTTGTTGTAGAAATATGTAGTAAAACAATTTATAATGGGATAAATATTAATGGTAGTTGTAGAGACAGTGAAGTGACATATATAATATATAATTTTGTTTTATAGTTTTGATTATGGAATACAGAAAAATAAAGATTTAAGAATATAATTAGTAAAAGAGTTTCTCAACACGGTTACCGTATCAGCTAGGCCGATTTGTTTAGTTTGTGAATAGATAAGCGCTGTGTGAATTGTCCAAATACAAAGAGTTCTCACACGCATAGGTTATTCTCATTCATAAATCAAAGGTTAATAAGATAAAGAGCCCAATTTATATATTGTATATAATTGCAAATTATTGAGGAGAAAGGGATTGTCAATAATTTGGATTAATAACCGCATTGCTATCCTGGAAACCATCACGGTAAATTCCTGGTGCCACGATGGGCTAACTGACCTGACCTCATTCTCATCATTTTCCACTGTTGCCCGCTAGTTACCGTTAGCGCAAGTGGGAGCATCATTCAATTATCATCCATTAAAAAAAAGGATAATTCTTGGATTATGTTTTAAACATATGGTTAGAGCAACTTTTATTCGTATACGGAATCATTTTTCCTTATTTCTACTCGTGTATGACATGATTTTCTGGTCCATAAACACGAACTTGATCTTACATCTAAGATCTTAAAGTTAGATCTTAGTTCTTTAATTACATAAATTACTGTAATTAGTCAAGACAATTGTTGGTAAACCTAAATAAATAAATAAAATATATAAATAATTTTTATTAATTTTCCATATTATATATTAAACAATATACTTCCATTAAAGATCCTTGGGGGAGACCTTTGTTCAGCAGTGGACGTCTTCCGGGCTGAGAGGAAATATGCCACTTCATCCTAGTAGTATACCATAGTGTGATGCATTACACAGTCTATTATCGACTATGGAGTAAGATAAATTTTCGCTGCACAATCTATGGTTGACTGGTAGAAAATGCAGTCCAAAAAGTCCGTCATATGTATTTTACCTTGGTATTTTGTACATTGAAATTACTTAAATAAATAAATAACAATGACATACTCAGTCCTTATTCTACATAGTCTTTTTATTTAAGTAATTACATAAATAACCATGCAAAAAACTTAGACAAGAGTTCAAAGTTATTACTACTAGAGGTGCAGTGGTACCTGACACTGCTGAAACGAGTAGGTACATTTATAGATCACCATCTATTGGTAATAATCAAATAACAATAATAAATAAAGCATCTACACAACGCCATCTGTTATTTGATTAACGAATTAATTTATAATCTAATAGGACACAAAATATACGTGTATGTTATTTTACATCTTTAAAATAATTAAATCCATTCATCATAATTTCCCGCGACTCCGTCTGCTTTTTTGAAATGAAAATGGCCTATTTTATTTTAATTGATGATAATGTAATTACACCCGCCTGCGCTAACGGTTTACGGTGGCGGAATGGTGCCCCGCCGAGGATAATAATATGGGTATGGGATGAAGTCAGTTGGCACACTGGTTGGTTTCCGGGGTGAACCGCGTGGAGGTAAACCTGATATGGTACATTGTTAGCAATGGGTTCATTAGTCCACATTACTAACAGTCCGAAAACAGTCTATTTCCATCAAATTCAAATTCAAATTCAAAATATCTTTATTCATGTAGGTCTATTACAGACTCTTATGATATGTCAAATCTACCGTCAGTTCGGAATGATATCGAGATGAGAAGAACTGACAAGAAACTCAGCTCGATTTTTTTCAAATAATAGTGGAACATGTTTATAATAATATACAGTCATTAAAATTCAAATTTGGAAGAATAGAGTGACATCGTCGTGATAATATACCTTCATATTACATTTCATTAATGGTTCCGATCAGTCGTCGCATAGTTGCAGAGACAAGAAACGATCACATACAAATTTCCTTTTGTAATGTCAGTATAAACCGTTTTTATATCTCATGAGAGATACCTACAAGAAACATAAAAAAAATTGATATTAAGCTTAAAAAACTACAAAGTAACTAATTAAATTGTAGTACAATGACCCATAATTATGTAGCGTATAAAATGATGTAAGTTTTATTTTATTATTTATGCCCACACACAGGAAAATAAGAGTAATATGATAAATGTAATGTACAAGAGCGAGCTTATCTCTAAAAAGAGATTTCTTCTAGCAAACCTAGAAAATGTTATAGGATAATATGTTAACTAGATCAGCCATACATACGAGTACCAAAAAGAAAAGGTTTTATATATAGTCGTATATATATAATATATAGTGGAAGATAAGATTAGCAATAAAATACAATGGGACTGGCATTATCATATATAAAAAAAGTACATAATCACATATAAAAGTCTAAATATGTGAGTGTTAAAAAAATATATAAAATTTTGTTTGATGTGTAATGTATGAATATATTGTAATTTATGTTAAAATATTTCTTAATTCAGTAAGCTTATGTCATATTACAGATTAGAGTGTGTTACATATTGTAATTGTAATTAATTTACAATTATAATTTAACAAAATATAGTTCAATTCCACAATTTGAAAGTGTTTAATATTTTTTAAATATACAGTAACATAGTAATATTAGAGAATTAAAAAGAAATAATACTTATGTATGTATTTATTGTCGTAATAGAATAGTTGTTGTAAAAATGAACCTTGCGACTAAAAACAGTTGAACCACAAATTCTTGGTCGATTTTTATTCTTAGTTTATATCAATGATCTTATAATGTCTTTTTTGTTTCGAACTATTCTAATGCTGTTGGTCGCAACTGACTTTTACAGCTTCACCGAATGAGGGGGGATGAATGCAAATGACACTCCAAACCTATGGAAGAACTTATGGAGAGGCTGAAGGCTAACTCCGGTCTGACGGAGACAACTTTAGTCTGAGGGCACCGCGGCACCGGTAGGCGTTCGAACCTCGGCTCAGCACGTCGTAATGTCAATCCCAGTTTGAATTGAGGGTTTCTAATGGAAATATTATTAGAGGTAGACTAAAAATTCGTATGCATGGGTCAACTTTCTTTGTAAGCTGTGTGTCTGTTGTAGGGCGTGATTAAACTGAAATTATAGAATAACAGGCAAGACATAGAGTCTTTTTAGAATTAATTAGAATTAGAATGGCAACGCATGAGGAGTATTACGGTTATCATATGATATCGTTATGTCCATAGTGGTAGTCTGTATTAGGTTCGCAATATTGATGCTGTATTTACCTATTATACATATAAATCTATTAAGTAATGAAATAGATTTCCGCAAATAACACCTAATTCAATAAAATATATAGCGGGATCTTAGTCACGCAATACAATATTGTTGTAGGTATACGTGTATAATCGGTTTCAATTACTCTTGTCATAACGGGTAATAGTTCAAATCCGAGCTCGGAAACTCGTTCTTTAAACTACGTCACAGCAGCGGGTACCGTTCGACGAACCTGCCCGACGACCAAGGTGACTGCTGATGATTGGTGGCCGACTGACACAGTTTCTTCGTCCCTTTCGACTTGATAGTATTTTTATTTTTTTGGAAAAAATGTTCCGAATTTTTTTAAGGTCATGTTTATAAATATGTCGCCCTCGGTGGTCTAGCATAAACCGCAAGACCTCCGAGGGCGTCATACACACCGTCTTACTTCCAATGGTCGCGGGTTCGATTCCACGCACGGCACAAACATTTGTATTCATGAGTATGATTATTTGTATCGGTCTGGGTGTTTTCTATATATAATATGTATGTATTTACGAAAAAAATATATCTATGTATTTGTATCAGTTATCTCTAGTACCCATAACACAAGCTATAGCTAGCTTAATTTTGGTTTAGATGGCGCTGTGTAAATTATACTGAGATTATTATTATTATTAAAGATGTAAGACTTTTTTCTTTGCAAACGGTATCGTCTAAGTCGGTCTAATTATTGACTAAGATTTTTTTCGTATGAATGACATTGGAAAGATGTACACAACTGCGTTAATGGTTATAGATGAGAATGAGATCAAGTCAGTCAGCCCATCGAGACCAATTCGCCATTCGCCAATCCGCCCCCTTAACCTGATGTTAATATTCAGTGGCAAATATAAGTAGACAATATACGGAAGTAAATATAATATATTCTATATCATATCATCATATATATAATATATCATATCAGTAGAACAGTGCTATAACATATGATGTATGATATTATATGTTATTACTATCATTAAGGAACAGCACTGTTCTACTTTCCTTAATAACACTAATTTTATAGGTCATGGAATATTTTTTTTCATTTCAGCCAATGTGCCCAGCCTAGTAGTTATTACGAAAATACAATACTCACAAAGCCGATAGCAAGCTCAGTCTCATCAGTTATGATCATACTAACGCACTGAGCAAGTATTGACGGATTGCATTAGCTTCGTTGTAATATAAACCCAGTTTTATTTTCTGGTAAAATACTATTGCAATATTTAAGACAAACAAGACTATAAAATACGAATAGTTGACATACTATTCATAGTAGATGGCGCTATTTTATCTGTATATCGTAAGAAATCTTATAAAAAGCATCTTATAGTTTTCATCGTGCTAATATTATGATAAATAGTTTCAGTCGCAACCAACAGATGTCGTTATTTCCAAAAATACATTTTAGTCGATAGATGTCGATGGTATTAGTGTCTGCGTTGAAGTCTTTTGCAGTTTAAATTAGTGAAATTTTTAATTAATTAAAACATATGTATACCAATTACAACATGGGACATATCATGGAAAACCTACCTGATATAAAGTACACAATCATAACTCAAAGTAATATAAGCAGGGAGCGCCAGAGCCAATTTGTTTTTTTTTTACTCAAACCTAGAAATGGCAGTAGACTTGACTCTTGCCAATAAAATTAATTCAAATGTATCGAATAGTAAGCATATCATACTCCTAACTATCACACATGGGATAATAATCACATCAAATATCATTATATAAAAAAATGCTTTTATTAGGAGACCCCCTTGTCAAGGTTATTGAATACGCACAAAGTATTTTTTACATCTTCAATCATAAATCTAACAAGCTAAAATGATGCGTTAACCCTATTTATTAATATTAAAAATATGTATGTACTTATGTATTTTCTTAGCCATATTTGATTAAATTAACCTTTAGTTTTTCTTTATTTCCAGGTCCGGTGCCAGTAGCTAGAAACATAAGACACTTGCCGTGCATATCAAGAAGAACGGGCCAAGAGGGTTTGTGCATGTTCGCCATAGATTGCCTTAAAGCTAATGGTTCCCATTTGGGAACATGTATAGACAGGTTCTACTTCGGATCCTGCTGTCAAATACCTGATAAAACTTTACTTCCACAAATAATAGGTAATAATATAGAAGATAACACAATTGATAGTGGTAACTTTGTACATCCACAAACAGAAGATAAAGTACAGACAACAGTTAGTAAAATACCTAATATATTTCCAACAAGAAAGCCTACTATAGAGAAAGTAACTACTGTTAAAACAGAAACTTTACAAGACAGAACTGAACCAGATTTAGAATTAAAGACTGATGATCAAACAACTATAAACGATGGTAAGATAACAACAGCGGTCGCTGTAGAAACAACAACAAGGAAGCAAATCACAAAAGCCACAACACCAGAAGTAATTACAGATATACCAGTTAAATTGTCAACGTTCCAAACTGTTTCTGGTGATTTAACTAACTCTATTACTGACGAACCAACTAAATTTGATACTACTGAGGCTCCTAAAATAACTACAACATCTACAACTACAACGACCACCAAACCTACTAGAAGACCAATAAAACCTACGCACAAACCATTCAGACCATCAAACTTTACTAGACCCACACTACAAACCACTAGTAAACCTAGGCCAACTAAGCCTATTCTAGTCTTCAATACTACTAGAAAACCGCCGTATAGGCCGCCACCTAAACGACCTTCTACTAAGAAGCCTCTGCCTTCACCACCTAGATTAAATATAACTATTTTACCTCAATCAACTAGTACTAGACCTATATTTACTAGACCTTCTTTTACTACAATCACTTATATTAATACAACATTATCATCTACTGAAGAACCAATAAGAACAACAATTTCTTCTACATCTACTACAATAACTACACCACCAGCAACAACTACGACTACGTCATCAACTACGACAACTACAACAGAAATAGTACCTTTAGTAACGGAAAGAATAACAGAAGCAACTGAATATGTAACAGAGGTATTAACATCATCAAATGAACTGCCAACAACAACAACAACAACTACATTAGCACCAACTTCAACAGTAATCACAACAGAAGTTCCTAAAACAACTTCAACATCGACGACTGAATCAATAAAAATAACTACATTAATTGAGGAGTTTAGTGAAAAAGAAACACTAAAACCCGTGGTGACGGCTGAAATTCCCTCGTCAACCGTTTCATCAACAACATTGTCTTCATCGACGGAATACCCACCATTGGTGACGTGGTCGACCATAGATGCTGGCACAAAAGCTCCAGAGAATATTACAACAGCTTTAGATGGTAAGTCCTGCATATTTTCTTTTTTTTATATAGCTACCACGAACACATTCTAATTCTATTATAGTACCACCGACGTAGACATTTTAAGAATCCGTCCATGCAAATACTTCTGTTCTCCTATATCTGCTTCTGAGCAGCTAGCTTTGGGTATGTAATTTGTTTGATTTACAATAATTAAATTGTAATTTACGGTAGTCCTCCAGAACAACAATGCATGAGTGATATCACGGGTATTACATACTAACGTGATATCCATGGTACTGTATTAGGCATATAAATAACAGTTAAAGCACCATCAGGTGGGCTGTCAGCTTATTTTAGTTACATAAAAAAGCAGAGAACTAGAAATTTCTCACAGACCACGTAACAAAATTAAAAAGATATTAACTCTATATTTATACAGGTATAATCTGACTGATTTTTCTGTCAAGGCCCGAAACTGTTTTTTATAAACACGTCAACTAAAAACAAATTTGAAGAAATTTACATACAAGGGACAAGAAGCTACTCTTCGAATTATCCTAATGCTGTTGGCCGCAGCTGACCTTTATAGCTTTAATGAACGACATGTAGGAGGCGCTCCTAACCCTCGGAAGTACTTATGGAACGACTTTAATCTATCGGCATTACCAGGGGTTAGAACATCGGCTCAGACCGTCATAATTTCGATTCCCCTTTTGAACAGAATGGGTACTTAATCGGAAGGGCAAACAGGTGATGAGGTCGTTGAAATGTAGGAGTTCATAGTTTTAGATAACGCAATTCCTACTACACTTTCGCTTTAGCAAATAATTCGCAGTGCCCAGTTTTGTTTGCAATAAGTTCATTAACTTCATACGTATCTACAGATGTCAATAATATTTATTTAACACCTACGGTATGTGTTTATAAAACAAATATACATTTTGAAATGACATTAGGTTAAACACCGATTACATGGTAGGAGAATCATTTTTATTGATTTAGAAACGGCCGAGTTGGGTTTGAATTCGAAGAATGTTATTTTTATATATAAATATTTTTGCTTTTTTTAAACAAATGCATTACATTCGTTGACAAATACGAGTATCGAGTGATGGCATTAAATCGCACCATAAAATTGGACAGAAATTTAAAAAAGATACATTAATCTTTATGATAAAAGTAGAATTGGTAATACCTGGTTTAGGTTACAAAAATATCGGCTTCAACCCCATTATTAAAAATAGCATAAAATTTGGTCAGACCATGATCAGAATTACCAGCTTTCAAATGAAGAAAGAATTAGCAAAATCGGTTCACGTAGTATACGTACGTAACTATATACGTAATTCTGAGGTAATACACATAAAATACAATCGAATTGATAATATTATATTTTTGAAGTAAATTGCAAAAAAATATTAGAGACAAAACATAATGCAAACATTTGCAAGATAAACATGCTTATCTAAATAAATCTTACATCTTAAATTAACAAATTAATAAGCATATATCTTGTAAACAAACTATCCTATTTTAGTACCGCAATATTAATGAGAAAATTCTTGCATATTTATAAAAATACGATTTTATTTTCGTTTGTAGATTTATATCTAATAGAAACAAAATTTACACGTACTGCGTCATATTACGATTATATTCGTTTGTCACTCTCGAATTTTATGCATAATGTTTGAATATATTATTAAAAAAAGCTCTCGGCCGCATACAATTTGAATAGTATATTAAAGGATTTCATTCTCAAAGATAGGATAGACAGTTCAATGTCTGGGCCGACATAGGTCATCGAAGATAAGACGTAACAGTAGTGTGTAGAAATAGCGCTTGTGAAGAAATTTAGGTGATACAGTTATTATGTCCATACTTTATAATTTATCCCCAATGTTATAACCAGATATTCATCCCTAATAACACTGTATCGAATGCAAATTTATTTAATGAATTATTAATGATTTTTACCACAGTTAGAGTTCTTACATAGTGGTCTACATAACTCTACCATATTTGAGTTACCAAGAAACTTGCTTTGTATGTTATGGTCTATGCCCTATAATTTCACTTCTATATATACAATATATATTCCTATAACCAATACAGTATACAAAGCAAGTTCCTTGACACCTTAAATGTAGACAGAAGTATCTAACTAAATAACTTTCTACGAAGTACAATGATAGTAATAATTACATTGTACAAAAACTATTGTATATAGTAATAACTATTGTACAAAATCAATAAAGTTTTAAATAAAATAAAATAAAATAAATAATAATAATAATAATAATCTCAGTACAATTCACACAGCGTCATCTAGTCTCGATTTAAGCTTGTCTTATAGGTACTAACTAGGTAACTGATACAAATACATAGATATTTTTTTTTTCGTAACTACATAATTATTTTTTTTTCAAATTCAATTTCAAAGAATAGAAAATCATTTATTCAAATAAACTTACATTGAAGCACTTTTGAATATTCATTACATTTTTTTAATCTACCGCTCATTCGGAAAGCTGTCTCATCACAAGAAGAACGAGCAAGAAACTTGCGTGTTGCTCTTTTCTCAAAATAGCCTTATTCATGTAGATCAATTACAGACTCTTATGATATGTCAAATCTACCGTCAGTTCGGAATGATCTCGAGTTAAGAAGAACGAACAAGAATTTCAGCTCGTATTCTTTTCAAATAAATGTTGTACATGTTTACAATGTTACAATAACAATACAATGTATATATTATTCATAGAAAACACCGAGACCTATACAAACAATCATACTCATGAGTACAAATGTTTGTACCGTGCGAGGAATCGAACCCGCGACCATCGAAAGTAAGGCGATATGCTAAACCGCGGCCACGTGTGGTCTACACCGAGGCCGTTAAATCTTTTTGCAATCGCTTTTTTTCATTATAAAAATATGTCTTTGTATCATGTAACTTTATCACCTGATTATATATTTCTTTATTAGAATATCTATTAATATACTGCGGTAAAAAAAACAATACCATCAGAAGTTGCAGGGTAAATAACCCTATTTAGTCTAACATCTTATTATGGACCTTTGCAAGTGGTAATGGTAGTGTTTTTTGTTTACCACAATGTACCACCCACGTACAAATACCACGAATTACAGAGATCAATGACTCGTTGACCGTTACATCTTAATAATATTGTTAATATATTCAATTATATATGAGTTCATTAGTTGTTATCTTTTATAAGTTTATGCAAGCTATGTAGAGTTTGTTGACACTATTTGACACGAGAATGTTAGAAAAAAAATAAAAATGCACTCGTTATGGCTAAATAAAATGGCCTACACACGACTCGGAAACTAGGCACTATATTGGAACATTATACTCGTATGACAGGAGTAAAATCAACACATATAATTGTGTACATACTGAACTACGAATTGTGCAATTAATAATTATTGATTATAATTATATCCGAGACTATCCACACAGCACTATCTAGTCACAAACTAAGAAGACCGTGTGTTTCGGGTACTAGACAACTGACATAATTACTTAGCTACATTTCTTTTTGTAAATGCATAATATACATAGTAATCAAAAAGAAATTAATTCGAAACTGAAATTAGAACACAAATAATAGAAAATAAATACAAATAAATAGTAAAAAACCACAATAGTAGGCAAAATTTTTAAATTACAGCAGACTAATAATTGAAAAAATACCAAAATCCAATAGCAATTAACACTATTTGACAATTTATAGTGATTATACAGTATACAGAGTAATTCCATTAGTATTTTGTTGAATGTTATTTTGTTTCCATCCCGTAAATTAATAAAATAGTAACAAGCCCGACAAGTCACAATAGTGAATGAATATCCGGGGATTTTTAACAAATACAAACAATCTATCTTATGAATACAATATGTTTGCATCTTGCGAGGAATAGAACCTGCGATCATTGTAAGGAAAGCGGTTTGTAAAACCGCTACACCACCGAGGTTGTCAATTAGACTTTAAAGTTAATACTTTAGTGTGAATTTTCCCATGTTGGTATTTTTTAGGGTCAATCCAGTATTGTACTAGGTGAGCAATGTAATTGAGTAAAGTCAGGGGGCACGCTATGGACAATTAACATAATGCGGTCGTAATTTCTCCACACACGAGGCAATCTAGGAAGCGATCTAGGGCACTCCCCACTATTGCTCCCATGTTGCCCCTTATTTTAGTGTCGTGTATAGGTCATTTATGTAATGCTAATGTTTCGCACTTAGTTACCATCTCATTCATAACTAACTGAATCACACAGCGCTGCCCATATTACCTTCAGTCAATGTACCAGCTGAAAAGTATGATATAGTTGAAAACAACTTTTGAAATCAGTCAAGCATTTTTTCATCAAGCAATCTTTTATCTTGTATATAAACGTAGCCGACTTAGTCAGTATAGGTTTCAAGTTCAAATCTGATCGACACAAAAAACTTTATATATTATTATTTAATTTATATTTCTGACTGCCACTGACTGAATGGAAACACCAATAACAAACCAAATTGATATGATGAACCTATATGATTTTTTAAACATTGGCTTGACAAGTGTTGCGTGCACCAAGATGTCGACAATTAATAACGATTGACTACCCTATCCGGGATAGAAGTCGTGAAGGTACTATGTATAGGTTCTTTTTGTACCAATACAATGTTTATCCTTTTTGAAGAAAATGCCAAAAATTTTATATACAGTATCATAAAAGAAACGTATTTATCTTATTAATATTACAAACATCAAAGTTTATGAGTAAGGTTGGACATATGGATGGATGTTTGTTACTCTTATACATAAAAACTACTGAAGAGATTTACTTTACCGTAATATGAAAGAAAAAGAAATAAAGAAAGACAGGAAGCTAAAATACATCAGGATAACACATAGGCTATAATTTTTTTGCGAATATATAAATGTAACTTAAGTGTAATAATCGTCACTGCAAAATGAATATAAATAGATAAACATTTATTTTATGAAAAAAGGTTGAAGTGACGCAGGTCTGCTTTCGAATCTCAATTTAGCGTTTCATCTGTCAGTGAGTCATAGAGAATGAGTTGTAAGTAGTGAGTCACACAAAATATTATATATATAGTTAAATAACAAATAACAGAGCTGAGAGTTGGAGAGATAAGGAAGTGCATCTATTTGGTTTGATCCAATGAGTGTCATACATTGACCCCTTTCTATACTAATATATAAAGAGTGAGATCAGATTTTGTTATGAGGAAAATAAACTTGGAGAATACTCGAAGAAATTCTTTAACTATTTGAAAGCTTTTTTCTAGAGTGAATCAATGTTAGAATAGGACAACTTCTGTCAGTTATAATTGTAAATTTTTTATCACTATCCCTACATATCATTGACTATATCACAGTTACAAATTGTTTGTAAAAATAATTTAAAACCTGTATATTATAGTACCTGAATATTATAGGCTTAGTAAAAAAATTATTATTATTATTTATTATTAATAATAATAAACCTGGACAATATCAAGTCGCTATCGCTAGCGCTATCTAGTTCCGAGTTATGCAGAACTTGTGTTATAAATACTAGACAACTGATATAAATAGTTAAATATATTTTTTTATAAATATAAATCCCCCAGAAATATGCATAGAGTCTGCAACAGGTATGATATTGATATTCTGATATGGGTTACAATTCGCCGTGGTCACAGCAACCGTCAGAATGCAAATACTTCTAGAATAATCTGTACGGTCCATCGCATTAACGTACAGGTCACGTATGTAGGACGCGGGTGACGCCGGGCCGCATTGTATTGTCTTAGTGAAATTGCAAGGTTTACTTTCTTCGCTAATGGCGAGACGAACTAGAGAATGTACTTAGAGTTAAATACTTTCCATATGTTCACTAACCACTTAAAATGACGTCATTGCCTTGCCTTTAACCCATTGTTTGGGGTCCGTGCAGTGTCATTCTCATCCACTGATCGCTATCGGCCAATATCTGAGCATATATCGAGAATTCAATAAAAATAAACGTGGTAAGACCCTGTGATTTTAACTAATTATACGTATAATTAAGGACTGCTTCAAATTTAAAACAGTATATATCTGGGCATACACTCTTCATTTTTTCTTCACACATTCCGTCCACATTTTTCGGTCATCCTCTCCTTTTCCACCAATCCGCATTGATGTTATACTTCGTTTAAAACTGGAACCTCGCTCCTCTACGCCACTTAAAATTGTAGGTATCAGAATGTTTTCTTAAGGGAAGTAATTAATAGTAATAGTAGGCACCATGGCCACCAATTACTATAAATATGTCCTATCAATTAATGGGTCGATTCCCACACGTTTTATCCTGGAAACCATCATTCCTGCAAACCATTCTGCTCTTCCTCTACCCACAAGTATATACCGTTAGCATAAAAGGAAGCACCATTTTATTAGGGCTCATTAAAATTAAAGCGAAAACGAGCTAGAATCGAGATAGAATCATCCTAAAATAGAAATAGAAACAATCTTTATCCAAATAAACTTTATATAAACACTTTTGAATAGTCATGTTTTTTTCATTCTATCTCATTTGGAACTCATCACAAGAATGGACAAGAAACTTGCGTGTTTCTCTTATTTCAATAAATGTTATTCCAAGTGAATTAACAACAAGTTATTAACATTAACAAGTTTCAGGCATGTGACCGTAGAAACCGCTATGCACTCAATATTTGATCCTGAAATATAATTAAACTTCAATTTTATAAAATACAACTGGTATTTAATCGGTAAAATGGAAAATCCATACATTATATTCGGAAATATGTGAATTTCTTGCATTTTTATAGTTGATATTATATTTCAAAAAAGCATATAAAGTAGCCAGTAACACCTAATCAAAAACCTGATTAGATTTATCGAAGATATCGCATTAAAAAAAGGACAGACGAGTCAAGACCCTTCTCGTTTTTTAAGCCAATTGAACTTTAAGGTAAAAACCCAAAGCGTGCGGGAAAGTGAGCTTTTTGCGGAGGCAATAATTCGGGACAATAATCTTTTGAAATTTACGTGCTAATCAAATTCGTCGTGTACGAAAACTTGCTTGACCGCGCCATGTATAAACTGTTATTTTGTTTTATTCAAAAAAGATTTGAAATGAAACTGGTTTGACAATTTCTTTAAGCTAAGTTTACTTACGAATGCAATATTCTCTTCTTGCAATAGGCTCCTTATATTAGATATATCCACGATTTCACCTCCATGAATGCATCTATATGTTATTCTGAAGCTATATTACTGTAAAGGTTCATCAAAATCAGTTCAGTAGTTTTTGCGTGAAAGAGTAATAAATATCCATCTGCCCATCTTTCCGTCCATACTCACAAACTTTCGCGTTTATAATATTAGTAACATTCTAAAGTGTGTTTGTTTTATGAGGTATTTAATCTCCGACACTATACACCTATTTGAGAAATTGTTTCACTATTACATATTTCAGATTGACATAAGCTACATATTGTGTTAATACATACAAAACTGTACCAAAAATATGTTTTTTTATCACAGCCCTGGTGGTCTAGCGGTTTAACACACCGCTTTACTCTCGATGGTCGCGGGTTTGATTCTTCGCATAGTAGGAACATTTGTATTCATTACTATGATTTTTTGTATTGAGATGGGTATTTCCTATGATATTATCTATGTATTTACAAAAAATATATGTATTTCGCATTTAAACTATCAAATAAGTAAGATTGTTGATTTGTACAAAACAAATAAACGTTTTATACACCAAATCTATTGAAAATAAAACAAGCGAATTGAGATGCTCTTTCGTTCTTTAATCGGTCACAAATAGAATCTCATCAACGTCAGAGTATTTGGTAATTACTAAAGATCAGAGCTGCTGTAAAGGGTACACATCGAGTACAAAGTAAACTGGTACGGCACAAGTTGCAATGTACATATGTTATCGTTACTTTGAATTACTAGTCGTTACTATAGTTATATTGTAAGTTAATCGATACACATAGTTACAACAGTTACGTTAGTTACTACAAATATCAATAGACAGATACCAAAATCTCATGACCGTAAAAGATAAAAAAGTACTTTTTCCCTAATCCTACACTTTATACCTAAACGTAGACGTGAAGCTTTCTCAATTATATCAAAATTAACTGAAAACGTAACGATACTACAGTAACGAGATCTACTTTAGGAACTAGTACGTACGGGTATTATATTTCTCGTTACTTTTACATGTCTGGTACAGATTACCGTAAAATCTTGCGATACACCAACTGTGTCAACGGTACTAAGGTCGGGGACGCACGAGTGAGCCGCATTCGTGACTGAGATGGCACACTTTCAGTGATTTTAAGGACAAAACGTGCGTTTTAGTTTATAATGTATTGTAACATAGCGTGTTTATTTAATTGGAACCGTAAAATATAAATTTTCACAATTTGAATGTATTATCCTACCGAGGCAGAATGGATTAATGATTTGTTTGTACATGTTTATATTGTTACCTGGCACAATCGTGATGAAACAGTTTCGGGCTTGTAAAATTTTACTAACTAAAATTCTGATACAGCGCGACTTCATCTGCTTCACATTCTCCCTGATTTTGCACATTTTTCATTGTAACTCCGGTACTATGCTCGTAGCGTGACCTGCATAGCCTAGCCCATGACCTTCCTAGTCCTTTGTTACACAACAGAAGAATTTCTTAATCTGAACTAGAAGTTCCTGAGATTAGCGCGTTGAACCCAACAAACAAACTCAGCTTTATAGTAATAAGAATAAGTAGAAAATTTTATCAGCATTAAACTTTTTAATGTATCATATTATTCTCTTTTTCAGAAATCTGGTCACCAATCACACCACCCGAAGGTTGGATTCTCATATCCACTATCCCACCTACGCCCATTACATCTTCAACAACAACAACAACCACAACAACAACAACTACAGAAGCCCCAACAACAATTTCTGACGCAACAACAGTTTCAGATCTAGAAACAACTGTGATTACAACAGAAACTAATGAGAAACCAACAACTGAAGTGCTATTATCGTCTGATGTTACAACAACAAAAACGACCACGACTACAACAGAAGCTGCGGAGAAAATTACAGTTATAACAACAGAAGCACCGATACTAGAATTTACAGTAAATGTTACGTTGTCACCGACGATGCCAACAACAACAACAGTGGGACCAACAACAGAAAATGTTACAGAAGTCGCGACAACAACAACAAATGTAACTGATGATACGACTGTTGCATCTAACGTGACGACATTATCACCGGGTAAGCATATACAAACAATTAGAAAAAAATATATTATTATATTATGAAGGCCCGATGGTCTAGCAGTTTGCCACACTGCGTTACTTCTGATGGTCGCTTTTTAGTCGTAAATATTAATATTTGATTCATAAGTAGAGAGACAAGTTTTCACATAATATAATATATTATGTATGTATATACCAAAAAAAATTATTTAAGTATTTGTTCAATTATAGTATCAGTAGTCTAGTGCTCATAATACAATTTCTGCTTAGCTTGGAAATAGACGGTGTTACGTGTTAAGGAATTATTATTATTGTATTTTATTAGCCATTGCTACTTGCGATGCCCTTGTTTTTTTTTTTAGACAAAAATAGCCTGTATATAGTTATCATTATACTATTTTTTTTCACGTAAAATTAATTAAGATCTATTACTCACTTTTTAGTCGTAAATATTAATAACAAACAGACAGAGAGACAAGCATAGTACTATGCAATATTATGTTATCTGTGATAGTACTTTATCTTTTATAATTGATATACTGATGGCCTCAGTGATCTTGCGGTTTAACACACTGCCTTACTTATCGATGGTCATGGATTTGATTTCCGCACAATACATCTTTGTATTCGTGGGTATTTGTTTGAATTGGACTTGGTGTTTAAAATCTGCCTGTATTACTAACAGTGACTCTACGCTGACGCTATGTGAGATGCCAAGAGTTATTTATTTATTATTTTCGTTTATTTCAATTGGTTTACATTACCAATTTTGGTACAATGGTCGTTAATTCGAATAAGTTTCAAACAAAAAAAGGTTTTAATTTGTGTATGTGTTTGTATGTGTGTATCAATTTATGTATTTCTGACTGATTCTGAAATATCTCTGAAAGAGATCCCTTCCAGCCAACCTAAAGCTGTGACAATGGAAGTATTTTGCAAGATTTCTAAATATGTCTTTATTATATGTTGTGTATATATGGTTAACTATAACCATATATATTTTAAATCCAAACAGTGTGTTGTAACTATATAATACATTGTTTGGATTGAAACTATACATAGCTAATGTGGGTATGTCAAGTGTAGCGTACTTCATCGACAATTAGTTTCTTTAGATTTCCTTATATCTATTTTTTTTTTTATTTATATTTTTACCCTAAACTGTCGTTAGTAAATACGTTTTTATTGTTTTAGATGTAGCAAATTCGACGGTCGAAGACAATCAAAACATAGACGATACCTTAAACGTGACTGACTTCAACAATGGTAAGTGCTCCTCAGGTTCTACGTTCGTGTAACAATAGTTATTAATTATTGAATTATGTAAGTCAGCTTTATACTTGGAAGGATTTAAAAAAACAGGCAATATTTAAAATTGTAAAATATTATGCCGCCCCCAAATAAATGGGATAAGGAAGAAGCAGATGATGATATGGACCCTGATGGGCGTAGCAAGCTACAATGAGATACAGTGGCTTTAACAGAATTTAATTCTTTTGTATGTTATTTTTCTAATTCATAAGTTATCTGTCAAATATTCATGGACATTACAATAACATTTTTTTATAAGTAATTTTTTTAAGTTACATATAAACATTTTGTTTTTCTTTATATTTTTCAAATATTCGGGTAGTTTGTTGTATATTTTTATCATAAGGGTGAAAAATTGCAATTATACACCGCATAAACTATGATTTTGGACTCAACGAGAAAAACAAATTTTTAATAAACAATATACATGAACAGCACTACATATATCAGGATATACAGCACGCCTGAAGAGTTGTCATTCCTGACGACTAAGATCTCATCCGTGCTATGGAAATGTAGGTACTACTATTAATTCACGCTCCGAACCATCTAGAAAATAGATAGAGAAAGTACCAGGAGAACATGAATACATCATCATGTATTCATGTTCTCCTGGTACTTTCTCTGTACTATACATATATATATAATCTGGCAAACATTTTTTATTCGGAAAACTGAATAAACATTTTATCTATGACCCCACACTAGGCAATGCATATATCGTGAAAGTCAAAGCAAGTTTAACAGTTAAAGTAATATTGGTATCGATCAGAGAGTTTAATAATTATGCGTCTATATCATAGTAATATTGATAATATATGACAATAGATAATAATAATAACAAAAATGTTATAAGTACATGTATTTGTAAGTTCAATTAATATCTACCATTATTAAAAAGTAGGAGTTGATGGCAGAAGGATGGTACGTGATGATGCAGCTCGAATTTATGGATGGCAGGTGATGATAGCTTCAGCAGATTACAGAGTTGTAGAAATAATAGATTTCGCTTACTATCTTGAATTTATTGGCCAAATTACTTTTATAAAATTACAAATTAAGATAAGTGAACAAAAGTACATTGCCTCGACAGATTTGATATTTGAAGTCTGTACGTTACGTAGCGAGTTTAAATTGGATGTATGTGTGCTCCAATCAAAACGCTCTCTTTGTGTTGCGTTTTGTTACTACTTGTATGCCACAAAGGGTAAAAATTTAGGACAGTATTTATTTTTTTAATATGAATTAAAAAAAATATTGCAATAAAAAAATTCACAGGTTTTTTCCGAATGACACGTAAAGTCTTCCGTTATAGGCGACCGTTCTCATTTGACTAATTATTATTTTGCATTTGCAGTTCCTTAACAAAATCTCCAAGCTACACAAATATTGCAAGTGACTGTACTAGGAAATAGCCAGCTTAATATTTCATACAAATTGCCTCAATTAAAACACAGATTGTAATTGTTGGATGACGTCAGCCATACAATGGATCTGATTCAAGACATACTTATTAATTTTAGCCCCTTCGTGTATTAAAAAATGGAATAACAATGGAAGTGCGATTAGGGTTTAGTAACTCGAAGGTCTTTTATTTAATTAGAATGATAAACAAGATGACATTATCTAATGATAAACGGTAATATTTGGCTATATACATATCACCTTATCATGTAACCCCGTGCCACTCATGCGTGGCCATTCCAGAGAAATAACATTTATTTTTATTTCTAAGATATTTAGTACTAGCATACTTTAACCTTTGTACAAAATAAAAGTAAGCTAGTACCATTGTACCCTAAAACTAATAACTATATTACTTTACGCAAAGTAAGCAAATTTCCTGAACCGCACTACCTGAAGTATCGACTAAAACGACATACGATGATGATGATGATGATGATGATGATGATGATGACGATGCCATACATAGCACCATAGTCCAATGTAGATATTTATTTTATGGTCTGAAATTATTCTATGTAGTAGACTTTCCTTCCTGATAGATAACGTCCAGAACAGAATCATTTTTACAAGGAAAGATCGTGTACCCCTCACATAATTAGGAATCAAATGTCATGCCTCTTATCCTGTAATTTCACTGTTTAATCTACACCCTACAACTAAAATATAGCTTACAAAGCAAGTTGCTTAGTGGCTGAAATAGGTGACACTGAGGTACCCACCCAGACTAGTTTTTACAGTATACCTCAAAAGTCATCATAAAGTTGATCATACTAATTCCTCATAAATATTATGAATGTGTATTTGTATGGCTTAGACAAATAAAATAGAATGAAAAAATATAAAATTAATTAAGTATAAAATTAAATGGACCAGTATGATAATTGATTATATTTTCAGCAGAAAGGTATTATCGTATTTACATAATGTAAAGAGAATATTGGGACACATCGTCAGCGATCAGACCTCTCACAAATCTAGTCAGTCAGGTCAGAACTATTGCATTTTGTAAATTAAATAACAATATGGTATTAATAGTAATAAATGGAGTGGAAACGTACTGGGCCCATAACCTATACAGACAGCAATCGTACTTTAATATTATATTTCATTAATATATTGCTCATTATATTATGAAGATGAATAGGATAGGCAAGGATGCCGGTATAGTCTTTATACTCCTCTTTTTCTACTGCACTTTTCTCTTATACTTTGTTCTCGTATTACTTTCTACATAATTCTGTAGAATGCACACATTTGCATTCTTCCCCGTCATTGATCGTTCATCTAAAAATAAATGCAGTAAGCTTTTTGTACGGAATTCCGAAATGTCACCGTAAAATGGCCAGGTCAAAGAACTGACAGGGCAGTATCCAGCAAAAGTGAATAAACAAAAAAAAGTATGTTCTGAGTTCAACAAACAAAGAGTTGTTGGTGGCCGATACGATCGCACGCTGCGGCCAGGCCGCGTCACTTCGAACGAATAATTTGCGTATGAAACTGTGTGTCCATTTTTTTTTAATTTCATATATGGAAGCAATTTGCTGTATGGATCAATTTTGTAGATTTCGTCTTCGTAGACTCGCGTCACTTCGTACTAAATAATTTTGTATGAAACTGTGTTCATTTTTTTTATTGCATTGCCTTTTTACAAGTAGGCTTAATTTGCTCAGTGCTCACGGTCAAGGCGACGGCAAGGACGCCTTGCACATGACTGCAGTGGCTCTGCATTCTATTTTTAATATCTTCATATCTTTTTTTAAATAACTGAGACTCAGTAAAATTTATTATGAACCCTAAAGCAGTGTAACATTTTATAAAAAAAATAATTACAAAAATTTATTTTAGTGTGTGATCTGGAAATGGCATATAGTGTATTATTTTTATTTAAAAAATATTACGATATGTAACAGTTGAATAGGAAATATGGATTGACAATGACTGATCGAGTGTAAAGTGTCTCAAGATAATTAGTTTGTGCTAATTAGAGCGTTCAATTGTGTAGTGACACTCGATCAAAGTGAACAGAAACATTGTGACAATTTTTTTTTACTTGTATATTTTGTTGGATTACTCCAAAGTAACATAAATATCGGGACTATTGTTTCTCTATTAATTAAATATTTTATATAAATATATTAAATATTTTAAAAAATATGCCACAGACTAAATAATAATTAAACTATCCCTAACGGAAGATTAGGATGTATGGACGTGTCATTGCCTTGCGAATAAAATATACTACTACTACGTAACCATCTCTATCCGTATAAAAAAATTAAGTTTAAATAGAGAATATTTATTGTGAAGTGTATTTATATATATATATATAAGTATATAGACATTAAAAATGCAGACTAAAATAAAAAAATATAAAAGCAAACCGTTCCAAATTTAAAATACAGATTAAAAGTATTAGTAAAAAATGTTAATCAACAATACATTGATAGTTTTGGCGCTGTGCGGGCGTCGGCTGGTCCCGGACGCTAGAATCGTTGGTGGATCTAAATCTGCATTTGGACAATGGCCCTGGCAAATATCTTTAAGACAGTTCCGCACTACCACCTACCTGCACAAGTGTGGTGGTGCCTTGCTGAACAACAATTGGGCTATTACTGCGGCGCATTGTGTTGAAAAGTAAGTAAATTTTAATAATACACACTAGCAGTAGTTCAACATATATTGTCAACTATCGACGTTGTCATGTTTTTGTAATCGGAATGGCAAAAGGTTGGCCTCCACATCGTGTTCAAGATGCATTTACTACGATGGGCTAACTGCCCTTATATCAAAGTCATATTATTGGCATCGTGGTCTATCGGTTTAGCATACCGCTTTACTTCCAATGGTAGCGGGTTCGATTCCTCACAGGCTTTAACAGGTCATTGAGACCACCATTAAAATTCTCCTCCACAGCTTATAATGTTTAAATTATGTTTTACCTGCACGAAACTTACCTGTTCCACTGGGGTATCGTAACAGAGTAATAAATAAGGTCAAAGTCACAGGCAACGAAAGAGGAAAGATAATGTATTTTTAACACCCAATTCCCAAAAAGGAGGATTATGTTTCATGAAATTATTTAGTTACTGACCCCGTTGATCCAGTTGTATTAGTCTAGGTGTTTTTTTATGTATATGTATAGGGTTTACCGAAAAGATATATTTCAGTTTTTACATTTTTAGATAATTATAATATAATCGCAATAAAAGTAAACAACCGAATTAGATGTTGTGAGTCACTAATAAAAAAACCCGTCACTTACTTAAGGAACTCCTAAATAGGAAGCCGCTAAGGTGGTAAAATCAGGTTGTACGTAAGTATCCAATTTAGGTATTTTCTAACCTAAAGGATACTTACTTAAAGATACGCTAGGTCTTGGTTGGTGAAAACGGATGATCACTAAAAACCCTACGGCTTTCCTCCACGCCGTCATAGTGCCGGTCGCGGGAACGAGTTCGCAATCTACCTCGACCACCCCGAAACCCACTGATTATATGGTATACTTTACAGAGTGCCCCCCTCGGAGTTGCTCGTGCGACTCGGCGAATACGACCTCGCTAATGAGGATGAACCTTACAACTTCGAGGAGAGAAGAGTTCAAATTGTGGCCAGCCATCCGCACTTCGACCCTGCTACTTTCGAATACGACTTGGCTTTAGTAAGGTAAGGTTAATTTTTGTTTTTTAATTTTATGTATCTGGAAGAAGCAGATGGACAATCAATAGTAACTGGAAACTGTGGTCATTTGTCCAAGCGTGCTATTCCGGAGAGCTAACTTATTATAACATTCTATCTTGTAATTTTCAAACTACTTGGCGGCAAAATTAGATGAGACGGAGCTACCCACGCAGACGACTTTATATAAAGTCTACCTACTATTGATTGAGTGATTACTTACGCCACAGAGACGTGATCACTAACTATGTGCCTCATGAACAAGCTCAGAGTCACACAGAGAGCTATGCTCGGAGTTTCTCTGCGTGATCGAATCAGAAATGAGGAGATCCGCAGAGTATCTCTGCACCCCCTAAGTTTGGCTGGTAGAGCTAATAGCATTAAGTTCGCCTATTGTACAATGCAATAAAGTTTAAATAAATAAATAAGAACCAGAGTGACAATGGGCAGGGCACATAGCTCGTGGGACAGATGGCCGTTGGGGGCAATAAAGTTCTGGAGTGGCGACCACGGACCGGAAGACGGTGCACACGGACCCGAAGAAAGCAGAGTGGGAAAGCCTCCAGCAAGGTGGACCGACGATCTGGTCAAGATCGTTGGAAAGCGATGAATGCGAGAAGCGCAGGACGGGCCGTGGAGATCTTTGGGGGAGGCCTTTGTCCAGCAGTGGACGTCTTCCGGGCTAAGATGATGATGATAATGATACCTACTATTATTATTATTACTGACTACGACGCGACAGTTATTCCTGAAAGACGTCAAACTAACTGTTTAATCTATTTGCCGGCAAATTTGTTCGCAAAAATATTAACACATCTAAACTATAGACATACTAAATAATAAACTATATAGATTAACTAATACATATATAGTTATGAATATTAAAATGTATGTATGTCTATGTTACCTATTCACAACTAAACAGCTGCACAGATCTTAATGAATTTTCATGTAAATCTAATCTATATTGGACATAGATTATTTTTATATACGTCTTTCAGGGATGACTGTACTATACAAACAATCATACTCATTAATACAAACCTTTTGCATCGTGCAAGAAATCGAACCCGCGACCCCGGAAGTAAAGCGGTGTGCTAAACCGCTAGACCACAGAGGTAATAATCAAATAGTATAGATTAATTTAAAAATTTACGTCTGGCAAATATGTCTAATCATATATAGCGTATTAAAAAATCCGACCCATAGATTCTGATGTATAAAAACAAGTGTAGAGGTCATTGTTTATGGTGAGTGACCGGCCGACATTTGTCGGTCATTTACACTCCACAGACAAGTAATCACAAACAATTTAATCTATTTTTCTGCAAATATGTTAATCTAATCCATAGAATTTAATTGAATAGTATGTATTTATCTCATCTGTGGTCATGGATAAACTAATAAACACATAGTTATGGATATTAAAGTGTCTGTATGTTTGTTACCTATGCAGTTATCGCCATACTGCTGAACAGTTTGTTTGAGAATAAATACACTCATTTCTTACAATTATACCTAATTTAATATATTCTCGTAATATAGAACTACAACAAAACAGGATCAATAACATAGCGAATAAAATAAAATAAATTGGTCATTGCCCAAGTTAAACTAACAGACGGACAATGTTGCTTTTATACATATACTAGTTACTCGCCCCGGCTTCGCCCGGATGTACTTGTATTACATATATAAACCTTATTCTTGAATCACTCTATCTATTTAAAAAACGCTTCAAAATCCGTTGCGTAGTTTTAAAGATTTAAGCATATGTAGGTACGCACAGACAGCGACCGCGACTGTGTTTTATAGTATGTAGAGATTAGTATGGAGGAACATAAACATCTTTTTTTACCTAACAGTAATAGCAAACAAGCTGTGATTAATATTCAATAATGTTTGTACCGCTGTGTCATTTGTAATATGACTGCGATCATTTATTTAATGTTACATATATATGTATCTACATATTTTTAATGGATGATGATGGATTGGTTCCCGCTTACAATAACGGTATATACCGGAGCACTAGTGAAGGATGATGAACCGTATACTCAAGTATTTCCATTATTTATTTATTTAATAAATATAATATCATTAAAACAATATTTTAATATTTCCTCTTTTCGTACACGTGTGTATGACTATTCTATTTAATACACGATCCTATAACATTTTCTAGGTTTGCTGGAAGAAATCTCTTTTTAGAGATAAGCTCGCCCTTGTACATTACATTTATTCTGTATAATTTTTTTTTATTATGTGTGTGTGTGTACAATAAAGAATAAATATTATAAACGAAAGTTTGTGAGTTTTCGATGAAACTTTACGGTAATGTAGCTTATACATCAGAATAATACATAGGCTATAAATTTCATGCGAGTGAAACCGCGGGCATAGCTGGTACAATACAAATTTACAGTTAATAGCTTCAAACTATTAAACTTAACTATATATGGCGAAATTACTATCATCGCGCCGCAACAGGGCGGTTTCAGAGGAGCTTCCTCCCGAATTTTTTTTTTGCCTAAATATTAAAGTATAATTTCTACATACTTCGTAATATCATATCTTATCCGTTAATTGAAATACAGCTTATAACAGGATTGATGGTAGAAGGCTGAAAACTTAGAGTTGTATATATTTTTAAAGATAAATCATTATAAAATTAAAAAAATGATAAAAAATATGCAGGGGTGGATCCTTATCATTGAGGTGTATGAAAAATAGATGTTGGCCTATTCTCAAACCTACCCGATATCCACACAAAATTTCATAAAATACGGTAAAACTGTTTCGGAGGAGTTTTGTAACAAACGCCGCAACATGAAAATTTTATATATCAGATTAAGTACATACTATGTTTTTCGAAAATATATAGAGCTTATTAGTCTAAAGACAACTATAAATTTTGTTATAAAAGTTTATTTTTTAATGTTTTATGTAGTTTCATAAATCTTGAATTTGGAATTTCGTTGTTTGTGAATCTAAAATTCATTATCATATTTATTTACTACATTTTTAGACAATATATGGAGTTCATTAGTCTAAAACCCACTCTAACTCGTGTTGTAAATGTTTATTTTTGAATGATTTTTGTTTCTTTTAGTTTCACAAACAACAGATTTTGCATTTGGAATTTCGTTGTTTCTGAATCTGAAATTAATTGTAATATTTTTTTAATGTAATTAATATTTAGTGACATAAAGAACACATTATAAAGTTATATTGTACAACAATTTTTTTTTAAATAACTACACTAAGAAATATATAATAATAATACTGTACAGTTCAGTGTGTTGTTTTGATTGGAAGCTATAAATTTGATTTGGTTTGAATATTTTTGTTTTCCGGCAGATTCTACGAACCGGCTACCTTCCGGTCCAATATATTGCCGATCTGCGTGCCGGACAACGACGATGACTTCGTAGGGAGAACCGCGTACGTCACCGGTTGGGGCCGACTTTATGATGGTGAGAAATACTATAACTGATTATCGTATTTGATATGAATTATGAAATTCTACACGCCGAAATGTGATAAAGTTTGCAATTAATATAAAATAATATACAGCCATTTAATTAACTTTGATAATTCATACAATACTTATTATTTTTCTATGTATTATTAACCAGATACCCGCCCCAGCATTGCACGGGTGGATATGTGTTAAACTTGTAGTTAACTTCGTACTATAGTTATTATTTTGTAATATATATTATATATATATATAAACCTTCCTCTTCAATTTTTTATCTATATAAACTCTATCTTTAATTAAAATCCGTTGCATTGTTTAAAAGGTCGAAGCGAACACGGAGCGCTAGCGACTTCATTTAATACTATGTAAATATTTGTAATAGTATAATAGAACAGTTTACAATTATTGTTACTATTCCAATTTACAAATTTCATAGACAATTATAGTCTAATATTATATATGAGCGGTATCAATATATTAATGAGCAGTGACTGTAGTATTTGTTATTCTTGCTACCTAAATTATACCAAGCTTTAATTATGTAATAATGTTGCTAACAATACACATACGAAACTGATTATAATTTACAATTTTACGTTATAATTCGTACGGAAAAAATAGCAGAATAAACATATGAAGGTGATTCAATTATAATAATTAACATTTATTTTATTGATTTATATATTTTATATTTATATAAAAAAAAAAATTACAATGATAGTGCGGCATAGACTAGGAGGAGGTTGGATATTTTAAAAGAAAATTCAACAAGTCCTTCTGCAGATATAAAGTGCCTTCTGCGCTCGCTGCTTTTTTCGTCCAGTAAAGCATTGATACCAAGAGTCACAAATGCTACGGCGTCCTTAGAACCCTAAATATAATAGAAATAGAAGTATTTCCTGATGGTTCTAACCAATGTTTCTACAGAGGGCCCACTGCCGAGCGTGTTACAAGAGGTACAAGTGCCAGTCATCAACAACACAGCGTGTGAGGCGATGTACAAGGCAGCCGGGTACAACGAACACATTCCCAACATCTTCATATGCGCGGGCAAGCAGCGCGGCGGCGCAGACAGCTGCGAAGGTAACACGATATTAGAATAGAATAGAATAAACCAGGCCAGACTAGAACAGAACAGAACAGAATAGACCAGACCAGGACAGGCCAGCCAGACCAGACTAGAATAGAATAGGAAATTCTATATTCGAACAATTCAAACTTAAATTCAAGCACTTTTGAATAGTCATACCACAGATAAAATAATATTACGTAGCTATACTGATTTTTTTTAATCTACCACTCATACTGAAAGCTGTTTCGTCACAAGAAATAGGAACAAGAATCTTACGTGTTACTCTTTTAAATAATTGTAGTTTTACATTTTTTAGTAGTATCTTATATTATCTGTGGTAGTATTCAAACATGCTTAAATTTAAGTTTCGTTCAGTAAAGAATTTTCTATTCTATATTCTATTTCTATAAAATAGAATCTATTATAAAACCATTTGAAATTCATTAATTAAAAAAACTACTTTATATTTCTGGTCATACCAATATTATTTTCTGTTTCAGGCGACAGCGGTGGTCCAATGGTGGTAAGACGCCAACGGGATAACAGATTCGTGCTTGGCGGCGTCATATCTTGGGGCATCGGGTGCGCGGAACCCAACCAGCCTGGCGTTTACACACGCATATCCGAGTTCAGAGATTGGATTAACCAGATATTACAGTTTTAGGCAATATGTGTTCTAGTTGTTCATAATTTTAGGCAGCATGAATTCTAGGAGTTTACAATTTTAGACAACATGAGTTCTAGACGTTCACAATTTTAGGCAAGATGAGTGATAGGAGTTTACAATTTTAGGCAACATGAGTTCTAGATGTTCACAATTTTTTTTCTAGTTCGCATTTTGGCAACGTCGAATTCTTGTAGCTAAATTATATATGTTAGTGGCCTTTTACGATCTATTTTTGTATATTCTAAGTATTCGCGAACTAAAGGGTCATAGAATATGAATGTCTTGTCTCATAGAAATGACAAATTGTATTTCATTACATACCCGTACTGTAGACCGATGTTGTTGTAAACTTATTGTTGTAAATATATTCTTTTGCGATGCTACAAATTGTAACTATCATCATATCTTTTCCAAAATGATATATTTAACTATAAAAATGCTGGCCATTCGGTTTGGTATATTACTATGTTTAGAGTTTGCCATAGTCATCATATTAAGGACTGATTGAACTTTGTATTTTTATCAGTCACCACACGCAACACTGAGAGTGCCTAAACGGCTGATCACATTTTAATGTAATTTTCTAATTTGACATTAATAATAATTCCGTCAACGTAAGTCGCGGCTAAAACTACTCGACATAGACATAAAACATAAAATAATTAAAAACATGCTACTGAGTGTACTAAATTGCTAAATCTAAATGTATTTCATTTACTGTTCAAAATCGTATCGTATCATTACTCCATTTTCATTAAAAATGCAACTTTAATACAATTGTTATACGATTCTTTTTAGTTAGACACTGGCCTTTATTCCGCCAGTACCTTTTATTGCGCGCCGAACTTTTTAAACGAATATAAAATTATTTAAAAATAGAATTTATTTGGTAAATACTATGTTTTTCGAAAATGTATGGTGCTAATTTGGTCCAAAAACGACTCTGAAGTTTGTTATTAAAGTTTATTATTGTGTGATGTTTTAATAAATTAAGTTTCACAAACAACGAAATTTGAATTTGGAATGATTATTTTTTTAATCATATAAACTGTTCTATATTAATTGTAATAGGTATTTATTTATATTTTATAATTAGTTAATAATGAATACGAATTTATATTTAATTGAAAATGAACTAAATCTTGTATAATAATTAATAAATAGTTCTAATTATAAATAATTAAATTTATCATATTAATCAATAAGTCGATAGAGAAGACAAAATATTTTTATTGAAACGAAACGAATTTTGTTATTTAGTAAATGTGGTACAATCGACATGAATTAATTTATTTACTAGTTAAGTTTCTTAGTATATAAGTTTATTGTAAATACTTATTTTTATAGAAAAATAAATTGCATTTATTATTTATATTATTTATGCATTGACACTATAATATCAAAATGTTTCCACTTGATGGAACAAATTTTATTAAATATTTTAATAAAAGTATCACTTATAAATTGTAATATCCTTTAATCCACACTTATATAAATGCGAAAGCATGTCTATCTGCCTGTTTAATACTGTTTCACGGTTTAACGACTGAGCGGATCTTAATTTAGTTAAATTTGATATGAATACTCTGCTTATATTACGACAAGGACAAACATTCTCTTATCGGAGAAGGCAAACGAAGTTGCGTGTAACCGCTAGTGTTGTACAAATCACCCCAACCTGCTCTGATATAATAAGAATGTAGTAAATGCAGGTGATACTCGTACTACTGAAGTTTGAGTAATATTTTCCCTTATATAATTCATGTTTTCCCTGATACTACAATAATACTAATTAAAATTTTAGGACAGAATAATATAAATTTTAATTCGACAATTTTTTATATTGTCTAATTAGTCACGGTATTTTCATAAAAAATGCAAAGAGAACTCACTATAACATTGTCGTAAAGGCTTTTTAAAAATACATTAACGATTTAGTCCAGTTAGGGTGGTGGTACGCAATATTGGGCACTTAAGATTATGTATATATGAATCTTTCACACTAATATTATTACACCTTAACATAAATAACCAGCGGGCACCTTGGTTGTTAAACATTAACAATTAATGTAACTACCAGATGAGAGATGGCGCTATTTATTGCAAGTTGTCACAAATTGATAATAGATGGCGCTTAAACAAATAAATTGAAGATAACCTGAAACGCACTAACAATATTTTCTGCACAAGTAAGTACATATACAGTGTATTTCAAATATTCAAATGTACTTGCTTCGGCAGTACATATACTAAAATTGGAACGATACAGAGAAGATTAGCATGGCCCCTGCGCAAGGATGACACGCAAAATCGTGAAGCGTTCCACATTTTTTGATGATTTTGTAGAATTTTACGAGTTAAGACGTAATTAAAATACACATGTTATAGGCATGGGCAGAACTTATAAATATTATAATGTTGTATAGTACTTGCTAAACGTGAAGGATAGTAGAAAGTGTTGCAATTATTTTTAAAATTTCTAATTCTAAACTATTATAGTTTACCTGATTTAGGTGAACTGTGTACCTACATTCTAGGAATAAATCATAAATTCGACATAGGCAAACCCACAAAAATGAGGACAAATCTATTATTGCATCACAATGGGTCTGTCTATTTAATGACTATAACGCCCGTCTGTCATACAGATATATACATTAATGAAACCTATAAAAAACAGCGGGTATTAAAGAATATTGCATTAAATCCACGTCTTCGATGTCAAGTTTAATTCATTTACTCAAACGTATAAAATTACCATTATTCCAAATAAACCCTGTTGTTTTCGGCGTGTAAAAAACTACAATATTTTGTGGCTGACATTCACAAAATATTGTAATTTATTATCGTTATTCAAAATTGTCTTTTTATTATTAGTATATTAATAATAAAATTAATACAATAATTATTATAACAATCAATTATTATCATTTAAATAATCCTTTGGAGAATAATAGCATTTTTAAATATTTCTTTACGGATTATAATTTAATATTAAACAGTTAAATGTTTAGATTCCTGTAATTGTTTGGCAGATGATTGTAAATTTAATAAAACAAGATATATAGAAATAGCAACTTTATTCTAACATATTACAGTTCATTTCATGTGAATCATGTGGGCCAGAGACCAGTTATGCTGCAATTCAGCTACGTCTTCGATGACCACACCATCAGCGGTCACGACGCCGAGCTGGTACCTCTGGAACGCGCGCGCGTCGCGGTAGAATAATACCTCCATGCATTTACGAACTAGTGCCCTGTGGGAGTAAATTAACATTATTTTAATTACCAGAGACTGTAAGAAGCCGTATGCGTTATTCACGCATAGGGCTTCTTACAGTTTCAGAATAAATACATGTAAGTGATTCGATTGATATACTGGACATTTATCTAAAAACATCTTTATCATATGGAGAGTGGAACTTTCTCTAATACAGTGGTATTAGAAAGAAGATTCAATTCCCTTAGTATTGATCATATCTATCAGACAAAAGTATTTCGCCTGGAAAATAAAAAAAGTTGTACTTCAGTTGCTCTATAAGTCCATCAGCAGATTTGGAGTACCATCTGCACTCGCCCCCTAACGCTCGGTGAAGCTGTAAAGGCATTGTTCGATTCTATTCAATGCCCTCCGGCATTGAATAGTTCCAAAAAAATCTCTTCTGCAATAGTCCTTCACTACATAGAGTATAGTGCTTATATATTACTTTAAATAGCATATAGGTAAGTCCTAATTTTCTACATCATCATCATCATCAACAGTTTAATGGGAAATGCCAGGCATTGCTAACTGTTGACATTATGGTGAATGACCTACCCACATTGCACTATATACATATTTGAATTCAACCAGGAGTCGAACCTATCTCTCTCTATCTCTTTCTCTCTCTCAAATAAATATGGGTTACTACTACAGATCTTTCTATCACTGTAAGAACACAAAATACATTCACATTTATTTGGTTTTGGTGTCGAACAGATCCGAACTTAGTAATTTTTGAGAAATTTACTCATTCGCACAATTTACACATACTTAGCAGTCTCTTCATCTAGGTTGCCACTGTCTCGTGCGTCTCGCAGCAGAGGCGTGGCCATGTAAGCGCCGAGGCCGGTCGCAATGGTAGCGTCCTCGTATGCGGTACCCAACTTGTCCACCGCGCCCAGGAATGGCTCACCATCCTGAATACAACACACTTTATTATATCTTTAAGGAATGAATGAAAGATGTAGATTTTTATAATATTATATATAAAAAGCTGCAAACTGTTGCTGCAGCATAAAACAGAGCACAGTCCTGCTTGGTGGTCCAGCATGCTTTAACACAAACACACACACACACAAATGGTTTTGTGCATATACTACAAACATTATGGAACAAACATTTTTTTCTTTTTTGTTTTCATTACTGTTTACTCTTGTATTTTTTTTTAATTAAAGTAAATTTACGACTAATTTTTTCATTATTATTGTGAGTAGTTTGTAATTATGTCCAATTTCTAAGCATCTAAGGAATAAACACCATTTCATTTCATAACAAACACAAAACAATAAATTGTAATAAAAATATGCTAAATTAAAAATACTATACTAATTAATATTTTTTCTTTACTCATAATTTTTCCAATACTACCTGAATGCCAGCAACTACATAATTGTTCCACAGGGGGTCCATCTTGCTTCTCTTGTTGTACAGCACCCTCGTAAGCCAACAGTGGAGGGAGCGAGGCTTCAGCAGCAGACCATCACCAATGCATTGTTCATCAATACTGCAAATTAACAGTTGCAAAAATATTATTAATACACAATTATTTCAAAGAGAATCATGCAAGTTTTTTTTTATCATTCTTCTTGTGATGACAAGCTTCCAAAAACAAGCATGTCTATATAAAAGTACCTAAATTTGAGTTTTGTATACTTTAAGAACTACAGAAATGTATTATTTATTTATTATAAGTTAGAAATTTGATGACTTCCATGATGTCTGCTAGATATCAATGTACAGACTATGGAGACCTGACACCATAGTTCTCTGGAATGGCAATGTATGAGGAACACTAAAGGGATCATATGATAATGTCTTCACTTATCATCAATTACTTAACATCAAGTGGGTCATCAGCAAAAGCTGGTAAATTAGTCTGTGTGGCTGTCTACTAACTAAATAATATTGAAACATTTCTTTAGGTAATTGTAAACAATAATAATATTCCACCTGATGGCAAGGGGTTACCATCACCTATATATATGAAGAACTACACATACTACATGTTACCATGTGACACTCATGATACCACTCATGCATCACAAACTTAAAAGGTTACTAAAAATTCTTGTATCCTGGAATAGCTCCAGAGTACAATAAAATAGAAGCACAGCTTACAAACCAAGCTTTTAATGGTTGGCTACTGAAATATTTCAGACTCTAGTAAAGTTATTTAGTATAAAATAACTGAAATGAAAAAATATTTTACTCACATTTTCTGCTCAATAATGTCTTTCAAATACTGGAAATCGGCATAGTCCCCTCCAGAACCAAGGAGTATGAGGTCATTCACTTTCAGTACTCTGGGACAGTCTCTGAACCTGGCCAGACTGCCATACGAGCCGAGTGTATCACCTGCGATGACCACACCCTTGTCGAATTTCAGACCAATAACTGTTGTGGTGGTTGTGATCGGGTTGGCTGAACTGTGGGAAAGAATAATTTGGTTATAATAATTTTACATTGTAGTATACAAAATTACTAAATGTTCCCCATTACTACTCCCCAGATATATTAACATTAACTAAATTGGTGTAATCTATGATAAATAACTTACTGAGCTTTAAAATCTTGAACGGTATGGTTCACAGGACCCAGGTTGCTTGAATTACCAGGGAAATTATAAAATGCACCAGGCGCCGGCCCGTTGTGCCACAAAGGGGGATTCAAGAAAGCCATATTTTTATATTATCCTATTTTTTACTAAATAAATATAAAATTAATTTGACAATAACTAAATGAACAGGAAGGACAATAAAATAACTTTTTATTTCTATAATTTTGTGTGAGGAAGAATGACAAACAGTTTTGTTTTAATGTTACGTTTCGTTAGTCTTTGCTAGTTGCCACAGTGCCAACTTTTAAAACATACAATTTTAACACTTTCTTTATTTAAATCTATAATCATTTAGATGAATTATAAAATAAAATTAAAAATAAATGTTCTTATGGTGTAAGTTATTATTTTTTTAATATCAACATGAATTGTATGAATATATTATTATGCATATTCAGAATAATCGACGTAATGTAACGAAACGAAAATAGTCGTTCTTTAATATAAAGTATAATGATGTAATATTAAAGAACGACTATTTTCGTTGTACAAGCTGTAAAGAAGGTAATATTAAGAATACTGTATTTAAATCTCTTTAGTTTAGATATTTATTCAGTCGCGTAAAAATCTTAAAGTTATATTTTTATATTTGTTTCGTGAAATTATCGTTGAATACGCAACTACCTTCACGTTATGCAATTTCTGAACCTTGGGTCTAAACGTCAGTTCCAAATGTCAATGTCACATTTTTCGTCCTAGGAATGTGTTGATAACTTCAGTTTCTTTCTATTGCCTTTCATAAAATTGACACAAGAAAATGTCTAAGAGAGGTGCGAAAATTGAATAAATATCCGTTTTAATCGTGCTACAAAATGCTATAAATTCTTAACAAACATGTGAATGCTTTGTTTGATAATGTATTAAATGTGAAACCATTAATATTTTGTTGAAATCGACCTCGCATCCGTTCTGTTGTGATGAAGATGTATAAAGTGTGTTTTTTTGTTTTAAGGACGTGGTGGTTCCGCGGGAGCGAAGTTCCGTATCTCACTGGGTCTCCCGGTGGGAGCGGTCATCAACTGCGCAGATAACACAGGTACATAATATATTTATTACATTCTACATAACCTAAAATTTGTATGACTGAACGCTAATGATGATTTTTGGAACACATTGTGTTTTGATTTATAATGATATCTTCCTTGGCTGTGTCTGAGGCTGTTCAGTCTACGAATCTTCAATTACTAGAATATTTAACTAAAAATTTGCATAATTACAGTTATTACTTTAACAAGAAAGTAGGACCATAGACACCAAAATGCACTTCGAGAGATAATGTATTTTCTAGAAGTTGGTTTTTTACAGGTAATATACAAATGTTAACCTCATAATCAGGGGTCATGAAAATTAAAATTTTTCTCTGTAATACAAAATAATAATGAGAAAATTCAGTTACTTAATAAATGCTAACTTACTATAGTATATAGCAAGTATTCATTATTTATACTATTTGTATTTGCCCACTAACAAAATATAGAAGTCTAAAAGTTACCTATTTTTTCTACCTCATACAACATTACAAATCAGCAACTAGTATCTCTGGAATGTGGACTATTTATTGTGTAAATAGTAAATTATTAGCAGAAGAATTTAATTTAGAACAAATAATTTTTTTTATGTTATAATATACATACATATATTTCATAACAAATATACATATAAATTAATTTCTATTCTAGGTGCAAAGAACCTGTATGTAATTGCAGTGCAAGGTATCAAAGGTCGCCTCAACAGATTACCTGCAGCTGGCTCAGGAGACATGATCGTAGCCACCGTCAAGAAAGGCAAGCCTGAACTCAGGAAAAAGGTGATACAATATGACTGTTCTTGTATTTTATTTATTTTTATTTATCTATTTATTTGTATTAGGCAACTTAATCTTTGATATAACAATATTATATATATCTTATGGACCAACTTGTATATAAAATAATAATGTTGTTTTTGTGGTCAGTACTTTGTGATCAACTATTGATGTGAACACAACTCTTGACAAGTAAATTTATATTAATGTTATACTAATGCCCATAACACCACAGAATCTGATTATAGCTGGGAAGAATGATTACAGGTACAAAAAAAATAGCTTCCCTAATTTTAATACCTATGGGTATTATATAACAGTATTATAATTCCTACTTGTTACAATTGATATTGATTAAAATACTACTTGAATGAATCCTGCCTAATCTGTTAACATGTGTCTTAATGTATGGATAACACCTTAAACAGCTGTAACTTAAAAGTCGCTTGGTAAACAGAGTTCTTAACTCCTTGATTGCTATGATGATATGCCAATGGTTTCGCTATTATTTACATCTGACCTGTTAATCAGTATGCTGATATGCCTTGGCTGACTGAGCAATCAGATAGCATGACCATAAATAACATAACCATATCAGTAACAGAAGAATATAAAAAAAAACTGAATATAGAGTACACAAAAATTCTGTATGCTTTTTTTCAAGTTTGTAAATAAATTGTGGTACAAAATGTATATGTGTAGGGCAATAGTATATTACATGACACTCCAAATTTCAAGCAATCAGACAGACATGTATTATTTATATAACAACAATGACAAACAAACCTAAAGATACCATCTGTATATGGTTACCATAGCCTAATGACATCTGACACATCCGGGGTTCTCACATGCATGTTGCTGACCCTTAAACCTTAAAAAACCCCATGATGTAGTTTCTATGATACTTTAAAACTGTGCAATCTACTTTTCATTATGACCATCACTGTAAAAAATCAGCTTCTGTACCAAAATTCATTAAAGTTCTGTAGTTTAGTTGTGTAAAGGTAACAGACATACTTACTGTCGTGTTTATAATATTAATAATACAAATAAATAAGAAAACCAGTAATAAGTGCATTATTGTGTTTTCTTGTTACTAATTCTTTTTTTCTTTTACAGGTAATGCCTGCAGTGGTAATCAGGCAACGGAAACCATTCAGAAGGCGGGACGGGGTGTTTATATATTTCGAGGATAACGCGGGCGTTATAGTAAACAACAAGGGTGAAATGAAGGGATCTGCCATCACAGGACCTGTTGCAAAGGAGTGCGCCGACCTCTGGCCCCGTATCGCATCTAACGCGAGCTCTATAGCTTGAATTTAATATACGATTAAAAAAATCTATCTTTTATTTTTATATTATTTTTTACTCCAATATTTTTAATTACAATATATAAGTAATATTAGGAATAAATGTAATATTCTTATCTGTGGTAATAATAATCTAGAAAAGTTTACACAGTGCCATAGTTCCAAACTAAGCAGATATTGTTTTTAATGGATAATAATGTAAATAAGTAAAAGATAGATAAGTAAAGTAATATAGCCATCTACCCTAACGATTTACGTTAGCGGTTCCCAGTGAATTAAATTGAATGTCCCATTAGAAACCACCGTGAATTTGTCATGGTGGTTTCCAATGGGAACAATGGAAATGAAATGGCTAGCAATGTAGTCATTAGTCAACATTACTAATCCTCTTTCCCCATCAGATATAGTGTTATGGGTACTAAACCGACAGAAATACATCTTTTAATATAGTATTTATTGTATACATGTAGTATGTACGTACATAGAAAATACCTATATTAACCCACAATCATACTCATTGTTTATTTCTAGGAATTTCGATGGCATAGGCTAACTGGCTAGACTTAATGGTCATCCTATCATATTCTACTTTGCCCTGCCAGTGTATACTGTTAGCGTAGGCGAGTCTACATTATCATTCATAAAAAAATATCGTAGTAATATTTAGATTTGTGCAACATGAGGTGGAAATAAAACAATAAATTTAGAAATTCAGCTTATAATTACTATAGCTTAATTAAGGAGCATTACAGTGTTGCGAACAGCACTTTATTCCGTATTTGATCCATTACAATAACAATTAAACTAGTAGAATACATAATGAATTACTTGTATTGAAATTGGATTTACTTTTGATACAAACTAACAATGTAACGGACCATGTCTTAAACAACGTACTTAATATAAATTTGTATTTAAAGTTGACGTCACAAAAAAAAGACGGATGGACTGTAAAAAAGATTATATGCATATGACGGCCAGTAGGGATCACACTGCGCCAAATCCAACAATAGAATGAAAGTAAGGCAATGAACTACTTCTTAATGTAATACTAAAACCATTTAACTGGCTGAAGTTTAATCGAATTATACCACAGATATAAGATGTTTTAATTACTCTGCGTGGATATCTCTGCCGTATTTAATTAACCTAGCAGCTTGCTTTGCGATCTGTTTCGATGAAGGGTAAGGTATTCAAATTATAAGTGTCTAATGAATGGCTGCACATGGTTAGGATATAACACAATGTCGTGATACCAAGGCCTACCCAAAAACAGCATTATTAACGACGAAACGAAGTTCTATTATGCTCTCTTTGTTGTAGAGTTCACTATTTAGTTCCTTAGTAATAACAATTGAAGGATATTCTAAACGAACTCCTGCCCTATAATTTCAATGCCGTATTGATCCTTCCAACCGAAATAGAGCATATAAAAACAAGTTACTATAATAGGTGAGAGAGGTACCCACATATTCACCACAAAACCTTCCGCAGTAATTCACTATGTATATAAAACATAATTAAATGTACATTCAATTAATTAATTAAATATCCTTGTAAAAACAAAATGGGTACAAAATAGCTGTTCTTCAAAGCATCACAAAATCTGCAGTGCACGAGTATGTAAAGTGGTATACATAACACTGTAGGCACAGTATTCTAAAGTCTTTTATCGTCTTTTCTTGTGGCCTTTCGTAGGGCCTTTGACGAAACACCAGTCCACTGAGATGGACTGACCCAGAATGTCAGCGCCGTCTAAAGCCTCACGAGCGCTCTGTAATTAAACAAACACATATTCAAGTAATCATGGTGAGGTTTTGAGTTCAAAATGAAGAATTATACTTTTGAAAGTTTGTCATTTCACATTTGATTTTATAACCAAAGACAATATTTAAAATAGATACTTAAGTTATCATACACAGTGCATTTCATATTACAATGTGTTCGGTGAATTATAGAACAAGTTAAAAGGTCTATGTCATGAAAGTAACTTCAAAAACCAAGTTAAAATTTAATAGCAGCAGAGTAAGATGTTACCCCACAATCAAAACAGCTTTAAATCTCCTTGGCGGCTGAAAAAGACAGACAACTATTTATTGGCTATTTTTCCTATAAATAGTGAGTAAAGCAAAAATGACTTACAGCAGCCTGTTTATAGGTTTCATATTCGACAAGAGCGTAGCCCTTCAGGAAACCAGTGCGCCGGTCCAAGTTCAAGTGGATATTCTTGATCTCACCAAACTCAGAAAATTGGTTCTGAAAATATAAAGGAAATTTGGTCAAAATGTCTCATTTTATATTATGATGCTGAAATCATATGTAATCCATAGTAAAAAGAAAACCATAGCATAGTATTTTCATTTGCATACATTAGATGCTACAATTATATCACCGAGTCTAGGAAACAGTATCAGAAGTGTGTTCATACCTGAATATCTTCCTCTTGGGCTTCCTCATGTACATTGCTCACAAACAATATCCAACCTTCAACTGATCTCTGTGGTCCTGGTGTGTTGCCATCACCTTCTGGAGCTAAGCTGTCATACCTGTAAGTCACATGTTGGAATTCATTAATAACTATCTAACCATAGAAACTCCTTGCCCTTCCGAGTTAAATAATATGTCAAAGGTTTTTGAAGTTTAGTTACATAATACATTTCTGAACAGTTTTAAATATAAATTCTAAACCCTGTTTGACAAGTACAAATATATTAATTTTATGGGAAAATAAAATTTTTACTATATCCTATGCAATTTCTTCATATTTTCTCACCACTTACCTTCTTGGGGCTCTACAAATATTTCAATACTAGAATTAGCCAATTCGGACTGAATTGGCTAATTCTGAGTTGAGCTGTTCTCGAGTTTTATGACTAACAAATGTTATTTCATTTTTATATATAAGATAATATAAGCCTCTATTGAAACAGTAATCTTTTATTTTACATTATAAAATAGTTATGTACAGATATATATATAACAAATTATGCATCAACTACCTGTCCTTATGCCACTGATTGGCTAAGGCCTCTAACATTATCTATCTCTCTCCATTCCTAGTCCATGTGCCACCTGCTACACCTTTACATTAGTATGATAAACAAACTGACGGACCACCTGATGGTAACTGGTAACCATCACCTATATACTTGGACATCACATTATCATATGACACTCATAATAACACTGATAATAGTTTTGTATCACTAACACTAAATATATTATCCTGTAATTTCACTGCCTTCAACTGAAACATATCTTATGATCTGACTGACATACTCCCATGCATATGCTGATGATTTCACATATTTAGATAAACTTTAAATAGCAATTATATTGATTTAATCATAAGTTTAATAGCCTCTGCCTCATTATATCGTAATATAATATTTTGTTTTTTTTATTATTTCTCTTTCTATCTGCTGTCAGCCTTGTGGCTATAATCAGAATAATAATATTACCTCCCCCTGTTCCCCCGTTCAGAAGCTCCGCCGCCACCTCCTTCATTGCCAAAACCTCTTCCTTTGCGTTTTCGCGCCTTTTCCTTTAGCCTAGCAATTCCCTCTGAAAAATATTAAAATAGTAATATGAGTGAATCTTTAAAACATATTTAATTACGATCGCTAAAATGGATGTATTGGAGAGAAAAATTGCTAGTTATGGGAATATGTTCTGTCATATGATTCTCCTTGGAATAATTCCTAGAGAAAAGGGAACAGGCCATGGAAGTTGTTTCATTCTGATTCTTTTGTTTTTCCTGGGTATACAATTATTATTATATTATGTATATTATTATACCTTGGTATCCAGGTACGCACCAGGACGCAAAGGCGAAAACATTATACATAAAAACTTTATAGAAGATGACAACGGAGATGAAAATATCTCCGAACACAGGCTAATTATTATAATATAGTAAATTATTAGATAGAACAGATCGCCTTTCTAATTGAAAGGGAATAATAGATAGATACAAAATAGTGGCGAAAGTTATGTTAATAACATAACCTACAAAATAATATCTCGATTATTTTTCTTCAAAACTTATATATAAATATTTAGTACATCCATATATTAACTAGTAATAAAAATTAAATATAATAATATATATCTATATTTAATTTAATAAGACTAAATAGGCTGAACAAAATAGTATTTTGACAGTCGCTTACGTTCACCGTCTTCATCGACTTCGAATTCTTCTGAATTCTCTATATCAAGAACATCAGCCATAATAAATTATTCAATTTACACGTTAAATAACTAATTAGTACAATTTCAATGTATAATTTAAAGAAAGATCAAATAAAAAATATAGTTATTTGGATTTCGTTAATAGTACAAATAGCACAGATTAAATAAGTTTTATTCTTAGTTTTTTTTTTCATATTGTATTTCGGTTTTGGATACATTATTGGCATTAACAGTATATTATAGATACAATATAATTCATGGCCAGGCTTTGCAGTTTATGTAATTATTTATTTATTTTGAGATATTGTTTTACGGCTTCATTTTTAGAGCGGGTTAGTTATATTCCTGTAATATACTGCCTTTCTTGGTCACCTTTATTAAAAAATGAAAATCTGTCTTGAACATCTGTCATTTTTTATAATTATATATCATATTCGGTATATAATACAAATTTGAAATTTTTGAAACGATTTGACGGAGAAATCAAAAATGTGTGCAGATAGTTTATGGGCTAATGATCGGACTAAAACTTTAAATAACACCCTATCTTCAGATAAGCCACTTAAATCTCCTACAGTAACTCCAAGATCATTGTCGCCCTCCAGCAAAATTGGAGAAGCCATTTTTCACAAGTATATTGATATCATAAATTCGAAATCAAATATTTCTTTAGATGCAAAGAAAACCGAACCATGTGAAAGACCTTTTGATTTCTTTGACGACGAAGAATTTGCATTTGGAATTAATTTGTTGAACAACAATGTGGCATGTGTCGGAGATAATATCACAAAACTTATACAGATGGGTAAATAACAAATCATAAATAATAATTATAAACGAAAGTCGAAGTGTACTATGTTTATAGTTTGTACCTACTAGGTTAACCAATTAGAAAGCGGTTATCGCCATTTTTTCATTACAATGAATTTACAAATATATATAAAAAGTTAATCCGAAAATCAATTATGAAGTTGAGGGCATAAATATTGAATAAGTCAACTCAATCATTTTTATTTTGTTTTTGATTCGGTTTTTCCCTTTTTAGAGAAAGGCAAAAGGACTCAGCCTATACAGCCAAGTCAACAATCAACAATTCCTTTCTTAACTGTCATTCTTTTTTATTTACTGTCGCTATGACATCATTGTGAGAGATATGTCAGTATATCTATGATCTGTGATTCTAAGTTGCTGCCTGACACAGTGATATCGAATCTTATCAAAGTTCTTGTTTTGAAAATTTCAAAACTCGAACTCTATTAATCCTTAACAATTAATTAGAAAATATTAAAGCGCAATGCCGGAATTTCAGATAAAAGATTCCATTATTACTACCCTGAACGGTAAGCAAATATCACTGATATTTATGGTGATATTAATATTTTATGGTCGTTACATAATTTCTATTTTGCAGCATTACTGTGTTGTTTTCTATGACACCATCACCGAATTTAGAAACGCGGTGACCTATATTAGAATAAACTGCCACTATTGTGTCATTTCGTCAAGTATTTTCATTGATAAGGTGTAAAAATGAAAGCAACGGATAATTATACTTTTGGTACCTATCTAAATAATATTCGATTGGTGTTTATTAAAAAAAAAATGTGTTGTTTTATTTAAGAAAATGGTGTTATTTTGTTATAAATAGTGATGTATTTGATAACTCGTATGTGAAAAAGAAATTGTTTGTAGGTGTTCTAACAGTGTTCCTAATCGTACGTAAAAAAACCTCCAACGGGAGTCGTGGGAGATTTTTTTTTGTGGATAGTAATGGAATGATATACCTGCCCGCGCTAACGGTATACGCTGTCGGGGCACCAGTGGAGGATGATAAGATGAGCATGAGGTCATTTAGCTCATTGTGGCATATCCACCAGGACTCTATCATAATGGTTTCCAGGGAGAATCACATGGAGGTTAACCTTACATTGAAACATTGCTAGCAATGTGGCTATTAGTCCACATTACTAGCAATTACCCTACCTCAAGGTGAGAGGGACTGCTTGTAATGGGGATAGTTTTGTCTATGGGTAGCGATGTATGTTTCAGACCTATATGTGATTCTCTTTAGAATCCATTATGGTTAATTCCTGGTGAATTAATCACATTATGCCAACTGACCTGGCTTCATGTTCAAACAATCATATTCCACTGGTGTCATGCCAATATATAAAATTGTGTGAGCAGTCTTCCACTATCATCTATGAATAAAAAAATCATACAAAAAAATAACTATAAATATACCTATTGGCTAAGAATGTTATAATTCTAACAAACTTGTGACTTTTATAATGAAATGTTTGTTTGAATGAGTTGTGTGTGTGTTTCTAGCTATAACCCACAATGTAAATTTCCAATTGTGGCTGAATTTGTTATTATTTAAACAGTGCATGATGAATCCTTATTAGGTGTTAGTAATAACAATTTACACAAATAAGGAATAAATAGAATTCCAAAATTCTTTTTCCAAAATAGAATTCCAAAAGTTTTTATGAGCAATGACACAGACATACACAAATGCATACACAAGGTAGTCTTAGTAATAAAATAATTTGTAAATTGTATCGAAAAAACAATATTTATTGCATTTCAGCTCAAGAGCCATGGCCAGACAATGTAAAATTGTTTCAACCTTACGAAGTGGAACAGATACTATTACCGGACAATGCAAGCTGCTTAGCAGTCCAGGCTTTCTTAAAGGTTACTTACATAGATATTTATTATTTGTGTTAACTTTATAGTATATTTTACTACAAACTGGTTAAATTGTGAACTGTTTGTTTGTATATTAAAGTTTCATGTAGAAACAACTGGAGGAATTAGGATAAAGTTCCCACAGAAAGTATTTAATTATGGGCTATAGAAAGTACAGAAAAATTTGAGGGTATCTTCTGTACTATCCCTAGCTCATATAGCAGATGTGTAACCTCTCGTTGGATGTAGAAATGAAATGAAATGCAGATTTCGATATCTGCATTACAATTATAAAATTAACTGAATTGAGAATCATCAGAGAGAATGTTTCTTGAAGTTAGTCAATTATTACAGATGTGTAACCTCCCGTTTGAGGTAGAAATGAGATGGAATGCGGAATTCATGTCGCCCTCTGGCAGAGTACCATTCATCAAGTGTGGTGCATTTGTGGTCTCCGAGCTGGAGCCAATCGTACAGTTTGCTGCCAACAAGGGAGTATCATTGTGTGGCCGTCTGTCTACAGAGGAGAAGGCAGAGATGAGAGCGTATATGAGTCTCATTACTAATGTTTTAGTTAATGCTGAGGTATGTATCTATATTTGTCTATGAACAAACATACAGTCATTGCTTTATATATACACTGTATTTTCAGTTATGTAGTTGTTATATACTTGACGGCCTCTGTTGCCTACCAGTTTAACACACCACCTTACTTCCAAAGGTTGCAGGTTCAATTACTCGCACAGCACAAATATTTGTGTTCATGAGTATGATTGTTTATATTGGTCTTTGTGTTTTCTATGTAAAAAATCTATATATTTGTATCAATTATCAATACCATAGTAGTAGTTATCAAACCCTAATATATATACCATAAGCTTTCGCTAGCTTAATTTGGGTCTAGATGGCGCTGTGTAAATTGTCCTGAGATTAGTTCAGTAGTTTTTGCGTGAAAGAGTAACAAACATCTATACTCACAAACTTTCGCGTTTATAATATTAATAAAATTATGAAAACTATATTTTAGTTATTTAACTTAATGCAAGGTTTTTATCAACAGCTTTACATATCATGGCTGGATGACGACACATACAATGCTGTCACTAAAGTACGGAATTCATCAGTGTACCCGTGGCCATTGGGTTGGTTGCAGACCAGGGCGAAAAGGAACACAGTATCCAAACGATTGAAAGCGCTGCACTGGCAGGAGAAGACATTGGAACAGGTGTTATCTGATGTAAGTAAGATTTATTCTATGGTTTGGGGCCGTCCATAACTTATCACTCATTAAAAGGGGGGAGGGGAGAGGTGTGGGAGGAATTTTTATTTTTTTATTTTTAAACATACAAGAATAGAATAGAATAGAAAATCATTTATTCAAATAAACTTACATTGAAGCACTTTTGAATAGTCATAACATTTTTTTTTAACAAAGTTTATCATTGATACATTGATTCTATTCGGCCGTCTTTTCTCCTCTACTCAAAGGTTATCTGAAAGAGATTATACAATAAGACCGCCCTTATTACTTTTACTTTTGTGGTAATAAAGAGTAAATAAATCCTTTCATAGTATAAATTGAAGTCTTTTTCGTTGTGTGTTCGCGTTTCAATTGCGCAACTGATTTTAATGCAGTTCTTAGCAGTAGATAGTGATTCAAGAGAAAGGTTTATATAGACAATACATGTACACCAGTCAAGGGAAGCCGGGACTAGTAAATATATAAATAGATTGTTAATTTCAGGTTGAGCAGTGTTGTAACTCCTTGAGCCAGCGGCTTGGAGATAGAGACTATTTCTTCGGAACGTGAGTATAATCTGTTCATTATATCCAGGACAAATAAAGCGACTAGATTCTGTCTGCGCCGATTGACCAGAATATATTAATTGACCAAGACAAAATGGCGTAACTTGTTTATCTTTAACAAATGTATAATAAATTCAGTCACACGGCAGTTAATACCGACTTCTGACTTAAAAAAAATCGATACGATTTGGGTACATGTCTTGATTTATACTTCAAAATAATGAAGTATAAATCAAGACATGCTGCTCATATTTTGGACTAATTTATATGGGACCATGAGATTCTAGCAGGAAACAAATAAGGCAACAGTTATTAAAATCGGTTCTCATAGAATAAAATATGAAAGGTATATAAAAGTGTAACACGTAATAATCCTATATCAATTATCCTATATCAATATTGAAGTATACAATACAGTTCTCATTATTCGTAACGTTTTTTTAAAGACAAGACGCTTATCTTTTTAGTAAAGCAGTAAAGCTGTTTAACTCTTTGCTCAATAGTTTAAAGATAATACACAATCGGAAACATTTTAAGGGCAAATTCAATTTATTAGCAGCAAAAATGTTATAATTTCAACCACAATACAAATAGTTTCTGGATAATAAAATAAATATATAGATATAAGCAATGAAATCTATTAAGATATAAAAAAAGGTGTGCTAACCGTCAGATCACCGAGACTGTAATTTCATCATATTTAGTTTGTTAGTAATCTTCAATGAATCCAAGCCCTGTTGATGAACTTGTTTACGGTCAAATCCACGCCCATCTTTCCGCTCTCTTTAATGAGGATCGAATGAAATCGATAAAGTTAACGATTATTTGGATACGTTTGAGAAGAGTGATCAAAATGATACCACTGTTTCTATGAAGTCGGGACATGATGAATATAATGACATCGATTGTGAAGAGTTGATTAACGATAAAATAGGGTTGATTAACGATAAAATGGGGTTGATTAACGATAAAATGCTTGATTCTTTGATTAGTCCAAGCCCTGTTGATGCACTTGTCTACGGTCATATCCGGGCACTTCTCTCCGCCACGGGTCCAAAAGCTGCCCTGTTGATCAAACCCATCACAACCTCTCTACTGCGCCATATAATTAGAATGACAAATCTCATCGGGATGAAGTTAACGGTTTGTTGTGGATAGCAGTGTTGCAAGTTTAGTATATTTTACCGTAGTTTAGGGTAATTTAGGGGTAATATTTAGCAGGGTAAATTTTAGATTTTTAACGGAATCTCTTTAAGTAATTTACTTAAGTAATAACATACTTTGTCTGAACTAAAGTATCAATTATTTGTTTTTATTATATATAAAATTTTCATTAATATATAAAAAAATAGGGCCAAAGTCAATACATTTGTTACATGGTACACTAGGTTATAATATAAAGTAGGGTATTTTGTGTTGTTAAATAAATTATTATTGAAATATTTTTTGCATATAGAAAATATATGAAGAAATAAAATTAGAGTAATTCAAGATTAAGTATGAACTGACAATGAAAGGTCAGTATATAGATAGATAGATAGATATTGCTAATATGTATATTAGTAGATAAATACAATATTTTGCATTAGATAAAATAAGTTTCTGTTTATTTGGGAGAAATTATCTATAAAACGAGTACTATTATTTAGGTCCAAAGTGCATATGACTGACGAAGACGACTTATGAAACTTGTCTATAAATTTGTTTTTAATAAATCTTCTAGTCCCTATATAATGCACACATATATGTATATATATATAATAGTTGCAGTGGGACTTAGACGAGGAATAAAAACACTTGTAACAACATAATGCATAATAAAATCTTTTGCGGGCATCGAACCTGCGATCATAGGCAAGGAAAGTCGTACGTTAAAGTGTAACTTCACCCCGAATTATTAAATCAAATAGAACAAAAATATTTAATTATCAGTTTAAAGACATTTCGCAGTGTCATATGTTGTTGGTAATTTGTTAAAAAATATAAACTAAAATTATATATTTATTAAATAAAGTAAATTAAAGTAAATTCTTATTTTGGGCATCGAACCCAAGGTAATAAGCCGCCAGACCACCAAGGTCTATAGCTTGCACTGTGCGCAATACAATCTTATTCTAGCCACAAGAAGAGTATTTAACAACACAAGCATTTCAACTGTCGCGTCGTAGACTCTCACCAGACAGAACGATATCGGAAAGAAGCACTAGAACGAGACGTTCCAGGCTATGCCTTAGAAACCCTAGTAGGGATAGCGTCAGTAGAGACATGTTTGGTAAATATAAATGTATACATATATAAACTATTTGTCCATCATTATATAGTATAAAATACAGTCGCGGTCACTATCTGTCTGTCCCTATGTATGCTTAAATCTTTAAAACTACACAACAGATTTTGAAGGGGTTTTTTAATAGAGTGATTCAAGAGGAATATTTATATATATAATACATATATCCGTGCGAAACTAGCTACTCAGTTTTCTTATAAAGAGTCTTACTTGGTGCTAAAGAGATCTGTAGCACTGCGAAATGCACAGATCTATTGTGCTCGCCCTTTTTTTAGAAAATTTATGTTGTTTTTTTTATTAAGTTTCTTTGCCATTCCAATTACATAAAATGAAAAAGGCATTTTAAAACTCATCTTTAGATAGTACACATAAAGGGAGAGAGTAAGTCATTAACATTTCATTCGTTATATATTTAATAATTGAATTTTAAAATTCAGGTTTCAAGCCATTCGCTTCTAAACAAATAACAATAATGACATCAAAAGAAGGCTCGATTACATGCGAGTACGACAATCCGAACAGAAACGAGGACTTACATCGATTCAACTTTATAATCGGTATCATTGATGATATAATCGATAAAGTATACGAGCTAACAGTAGAGGAATTGTACGGGAAAGATTTTAAACACGATTTCGAGATTGTGGCGCATCCGATTAACGATGATTCGATTGAAATCGATAAAGTTAACGATTATTTGGATACGATTGAGGAGAGTGATATGAATGATACCACTGTTTCTATGGAGTCGGGACATGATGAATATATTGACATCGATAGTGATGGGTTGATTAACGATAAAATGCTTGATTCTGCGATGGAGACCGTACAAGACGACTGTTCGGACTTGACCGGATCTAGGTTTGTCTTACAAGTGTTTTTAGACCTTGTCGGTACTTTAAATAGCGTGAATTAAAAAACTGAAATCGTAATGATTTTTTTTCTGTACTTACATATAGATATATTTTAGTACATATATTTTTTTATGCACTACATTTAAAAAAAAGTTTGAAGAACTGACTACTAAATTTTACTAAGAAATATAAAATAGAAGCTCTTCCGATCGAACCCTCGTCCAATTCAAACGGGAATCGAAACTGCGTCGGTCTGAATCCGATATTTGAGCTTACTAGTGGTGCCCTCAGACTAAAGTCGTATACGTCAGACGGGAGTTCGCCTTCAGCCGCTCCATAAGTCCTGCTGCTGTTTTGAATAAAAATAAATAAAATAATGTACCCTAAGTTACTTCCTATAAAATTATCTATCTGCTAGTACAAATCAAACACACATACAAAGACGTTTATATCTTTTTTTATAATTAATATTTATTTTTTTAAATGGAAATAGTAAAAACGAAGGACCAACAGAAATTTATGTGACCAAGAGTGATAGCGATGATCGGATTTCAGTAATCGATATGTCTCAAACATCCCGCACACCATTATCCACAGGTTATTTTTTTTTTCGGTATTAAAAAAGTAATTTATATATTTTTTAATAGTTTTAAGTTTTTCATAGAAACATTCTGTGTTCATATAAATGCGATATATATGTACTAATATTACAAATTCGTGTGTTCTCTATTTGCTTTTTTACAGCTAAACGACTGAACAGATTTTAATGAATTTTAATATGAAGTTAGATTAAATGAAATAAAAAATAATTTATTCATGTAGGACGTTTTTTGCCGCTTTGGTCGCTTATGAACATAGTTATTTTGTATTAACATTTTCCCTACCGTCCAGTTCAGTATTCTAGTAGGTATATTATAGATTCAATTCAGAAGAACTGCCAAGAAACTCATTTGAATTAAAAAATATATCACGGTTATGATCATAGGATGTATTATATCTAAAAAATAAGATGAATTTGAGGTTAACAGTTATTTTATGACATTCTCAGGGTCTAATACGACTTTAAAAGTGCCCAGCAATGAAGAGATTAGTGTAGAGAGGTTCTTGAAATATCTGCGTAAACGAAACGCGGTGTATCACTTGGAAATGGCCGAATTGGATTAACGAATCTAAAATTACAATGAACCTATTATAGAAAAAGAAAAATAACATATCCATAAATAATCTCTTTTTTATATTATTATTGGTTGGTTAACATTAGCTATTGGAAAATTACAATTAGGGCAGAAAAATAAACCTTAGTGTCATTGATTTTTTTAAATTACTGTTTTATTTTGCAAGGCAAAGGTCGGTGGAAGTAAGGCTGTATAAAAGTGTATTTTTTACTCCTAATATCTTTTATTTTGATGAAATTGTATAGTGAATTGTGTGATAATAAATAAATTAATACTGTTTTCCGATTATTGTAGTCTAGATTTAATTTGCTTGTATCTAAAATTAAGGATTTTAACCGAGTTTAAAGAGGAAGACGGTTCCCAATTTGTTCTTTTTAATGTTACTTCAGGTCATCGTTATTTATATACTGATTTAGTATAATTATTTAATTTTCTTTTTAAATATATGCTTATAGATTGGTACCATTTCATCAAAATCGATTACTAAATTTTTATTTTGCGTATACTGATATTAGAATAGGAATTCCCTATATAAATCAGTATGTCATTATCCAAATGGGATAATCATTAGAGGCATAGTAGAAGATATTTACAGCAATATATACATTTGAAATTATTAGGGAGTAAGTTATGAAGATATGTTTAAACCTGGAAACTTACAAAAAAAACAGTCATTCTTTGCTCATTGTACAAAATTAATGTAAATAACAATTTTATGTCTTCATCCCAGTAACTGTCGGGGAATTATATACCACATAAAGCCAATTCTTAACAAAATTACGAATAAACAACACTTTTTGCTTGTGGTCATAAACACATTTAATTTTAGAGACAACGAATCTACAGATTTTGTTTTGTCTCTTACAAATGTCGTATCAGGCAGAACATCACTAATCCTTAAAAAAATTTACGAAATTACGAGATTCGACCCGTACCCGTCTATATTTAATCTTTATTGTAATATATATACATATATTCCCTTAGTTCCAGACAGGCCAAGATCTTTTAGAAGTTTGTAGATTAATTTCGCTGGTATAATTCTTGCTCCCACTTCGATCTCGTCTACGACATACAATTTTTTTGTGATTCGTTATTAGTTTTTTAAGTCGTATCCGTCAGGCATAGGGTTGCCATCCGTCGGGTTTCCGCGGATTTATCCTAGTTTAGAGGGCATTCGGAGAGTGTCCGGAGAAATCTATTTTTTAGGTTTAATATTAAAGTATAATAATTTGTGTTTTATTAAAAAAAACGGATTTTTAAAACAATTTGTAACAAACTGTCATATGATTAATTTTGTTAGGTACATTTAAAATGATGATAAAACATTATTACATTTAATTTTAAGGTCGGTAAATAAATAAAAAAGTTATTTATGACATTTTTAACTGATTTTTAATACACTGACTATGTATAAAAAAAATGTTTGACATGGGGTTTTCACGCGTTTTGTCCTGGTTTCCAAATTTTAGAGATGACAACCCTAGTCAGGCAGTACATCACTAATCCTTAAATAAATTTACAGACCAACAGAATTGGATGCCCTGGTCTTCGGGCATGTGTTCACGATCATCACAACGCGGCTTCCATGCAGGAAACTAGCGGAGACGGTGAGGAAGCACGACTCTCTGGTGGCGCTCGCCAAACGGATCGACGAGCAATACTTCAAGCGTCCATAGCGCGAGGTGTTCAAGGACATCTCCACTGTATTTAGGAGTCCTTGAACAAAACCTGTCATTTAAAGTATATATATATTCATTTGTTTAATACCGGCTACTAATGGGCCATATTATAAATACTTTATAGACTAATATACATATGAAATAATAATAAAATATGAAGGTGAGATGACGATCTTAGTTTAACATATTATATAGTTTACTTTTAACTTCAGATATCAGTGAAAACACCATAATTTTAAACATAAATCAAATCAAAAATAATTTATTCATGTAGGACATATTAGCCGTTTATAAACTTCAAATTGTATAAGAATAGGGACACACTAAAAAGGTATTAAAGTGACATTTTACACATAAATTCACCACAAAATAATGAAATGCACTTCATATTTTAATTATTCGAATAGATTTTTATTATCAAAATCTAGTTTATCATTTAGATTAATGACAATCTGTTTGCATTATCACCGTTTTTCGCCACCTAAGCACTATATTATATCGCTCCCTTAATAATAAACTACATTAATAAATAAAAAAAAATGGTTTTAATTCATTTAGTGAATGCAATTTATATAATAAAATAGATTCATTATTTTAAAATAGTCGTAGATAATGTAATGTTGTAAGATTCAATAATGAAAGCTATTGACTTGGTTTTAAAATAAAAAATAAAATATATATATGTAGTAATTATATATACCATATACATCTTTGAGGTTTTGTTCAAGGACATCCAAAATAATTTTTAGATTGTACGTTGTATATTGTAGTATATTAATAATGAATTTAATTAAGTTAATCACTTGCATGCAGGGATGGATTAACCATTAGGGGAAAAGGGCATATATGCCTTCGGCCCCTATCGCATTTACCATTCAATATGAAATTGATTCATAGATTGAAAATTTCCTTTAAAAAATTGTACTTTTTATGACTATAGATATTATATAATTGGTTTTTTTCAACACAAATATATAATATATAAAAAAGCAATCTTTCCAATATTTTTTAAACGGGAATGTTTTTTTTAAACCCTACACATTGTATTGGGGCCACATAGAGTCCCAATGGTTAATCCAACCCCGATTTCATTCGCCTGGTAATATTAATATTAGTTAAAAATATTGAAAACTCAACTCTGTGTTGTATAGAGAAAGCACATTACCCCCAGGGGTACGTGCGGCTATCAGTAAAACAAACATATACACACACTCACAAACTTTCACATTTATAATATTAGTGTGATTGCTACAATAAGGGGTACGCAAAGTTTGAGGTCATTTATGAAGTGGTACGCAGCAAAACTATTTGGGAACCACTGGTCTAAGTGATAAGTCCTTTTGCTAACCACATCTATGCATTGTTCTTTTGTACTTATATTTACTGTGCGCAATAGATTTGTATTTTTATTATAATTGCATCTATTATAATTAATGTAATAACTAAGCAAATTCATATTGATAAATAACAATATTTCCATGAACAATGAGGGATGTATATTTGTATCATCTGGTCATGTACAGAAAATGTAGTTTTAATGTAATGTTATAAGTATGCAAATATTAGATATGATAAGTTATTGATTAGTAGAGATTCTGATTATACTTATATATATTAAATTTACATATATATGTTCTATATATATTGATAATGGATACAGCCTAATACATATAATTTTAATACAACTAATACAATGAATATTAAGTTTTAAATATATTAATAAAATAAACAATTCTGTCCATAGCTCTGTATAAAGTAAATTAACCCAGGACAATACACACAGCGCCATCTAATCTAAGCAGACCTTGAATTAAAGTTCTATCTATCTACTAATGATACTTGACAGATGATAGGAATACCAAAGAAAATATTCACGCCAATACAATCATACTTATGAATACAATTGCGAGAATTGAACCCGCGCCCATAGAAAGTAGTATGTACTGAACCGTAGGACAATAGAGATCGACAAAAAATATTTTAGTGTTGTATCTTTCTGATAGAAAGCAATTGTAATGCTAAGTTCACTAGTATAGAGTCTAGATTTTAAGTCTAATTCATCTGTATTTTTTTTATATTACCTTTCAAATACAGGCTATAATATTCACCGTTTTGTTACGACGGGCTAACTGACCTGACCTCAAGTTCATCCTATCATCCTCCACTGGTGCCCCGCCAACGTAAAACGTTAGCGCAGGCGGGTGCACCATTCCATAATCACCCTTAAAAAAAAAAATATTCACCGTCGAGACTATATGTACGAGTAATGTACAGTAATCACTTTCTAATCAATACGTCCATTTAAATTTGTGGTACCCAAATATACACTATACTATCCATATAAAATAAAGGTTAGTTACACTACAACATTTATGACTCAATAATAGTTGAACAATTTTATAAAGAGAACGAGAAACAAGAGTCCGTTGATTCTGCGGGCTTTCGCGCCTTTTTGTAAATAATTTATTATCATCGCAATATGGCGGATATCTCACTATGGAGCAGAGATAATAACAGAGTTGTAGATGATTTATAAATATTAAATGTGTCTTTGGAAAGAAAATTATAAAAGAAAGTGTATACATGAATTGCACGCGCAATTTTAAATGAAACTAAATAATTAGGAAAGAGGCACAGTATCTATACACTCAAAACAAATAAAAAATCATTTATTCATGTACGACCTAGTACCATATACCTACTCTGTAACATGTTTAGAAATTAGAATAGGCTACTTATGTATTTAATTTATAAAAACGTCTTAAACTATTTAGCTATAGAATTACTATCTTTAAAGAATGTGACAACATATTAATAGTTAATACTGGTTTTGAGATATCATTTTTTTAATGCTGAAGATGTGAATTTTATTTGCAAAAGATTAAGTATCTTTTGCAAATAAAATTCACATCTTCATATTTCCTCTTGACACCTGGAGGTTGATGTTTTTATAATTTTCTTGGTATAACTAGCGATATAATTTTAACCCTTTTTTTCTTACGGTTTTAAATTCACCAAATGTTCGAAATTAATTTGCAACCTTCCATAGTAAATTATAAAAGCGCTCACTATATGTATATTCTTGTATATTCATGTATATTCTTATTATCTCAATTACACGATATTTACGTACTTATTAATTGCATTTTCTGTTATTTTTTATAATTAAATTATTGTTAATATAATTGTCTTTTATTTCAAAACTCTGTGTCCACTATCAATATCATGATGGACGTGACACTTGAATTGCCCACATTTCCCTGGAATTCCTTCCTTGAATCTACAACATGGCAGGCCAGCCTACCGATTT